TGAGCTCACGATTCATTTCTAACCTGCCCAGTCCCCCTTTTCCTTCCCTCATCTAGAGGATCAGAAGGGAACAGAAATCACAACATCAAGGAGCTGGAAGGATCTTGCTCAATAAAGACTCCGGAAAACATAGCGGTTCTCTCTAATGTAGAGGAAAACCTGTCGGCTTTGCAGTAAGATCAAAGTCCGTTCAAAACCTGCTTTTGCCACTTAACAGTTAAAGGACTTTGCTGAGTCATTTCAGCTTCTACGAGCTCAGCTTTTTCATCTGTAAATTGGGAGCAGTATCTGTTAATTCAGAGATTTGTCAGATTAACTCTCACACGGGACATGTTAGGAAATGCACACCCCAAGACATGGTGTCCATAATTATCATTGTGGTGGTTTATATTGGCATAGGCAAGTGGAAGAGAAATGGATTCATTCTCTATGACCTAAGGAACAGAAATGGGACAAGAAATAGAAAGTACCAGAAAATGCATTTGGAGTGAATACATAGTGTGAACCTGCCATGTGCTCACTTGGCTTGTTCCTGGCTACCAGACGCATATGAGCCATAGTTGCAAAACATCTCCTAGCAATGCTATGGGACAATACTGTAGAAGGAGCTGTGGACTGCGGCCCAGCTTCCGCTTGGTTAGCTTTACACCCGAAATAACAACACACAAATTATATTCATTTAAACACTGCCTGGCCCATTAGCTAGGAAGGTCTCCACAGAGAGGAGTGAATTTTGGACTGTTGTCTCCCCTAACAGTCTTTACTCGCCCCTTTGTGTCTTTTGTGGGGCTGGGACAGGTATCCTCACTCAGTCCCTTTCTCCCATACCCCTGTACAGTGCCATCTTCTCCTCCTATTGCCTGGGGGAGAGCCTGAATCTACTGGGGAAGCTGGGCTGTGTGATCTGCATGGCTGGCAGCACAGTGATGGTCATACATGCCCCCAAGGAGGAGAAGGTCTCGACTGTTGTGGAGATGGCTTCCAAGATGAAAGACACAGGTGGGTTTCAAGCACTGGGTTGGCAGAAAACACGGCGCGGGGGGGGGGGGGGAGAGGATGAATTATATATAGAGCATCTAATTGGGCTTTGTCCATCTCAGTACTGCCCCCTTGAGGAAGAGGTGAGCAACAGAAAGGAAGTTGGGCAGTACCGTTAGCAAGGCTTCCTGGAGCGTTGTAAACATGTACCATTTATATTGTTCATTATATGCAAGCACGTCTCTAAATACACATATTTTTATTATAGAAACATCTTATGCAAGAATATGCATTATTTTATAAAGCAGCTCTACAAGAAAAAAAATCCCCCTTTTGATCCCTTTTTACAAGTGAGTAAACTAAGGTCTTAGAGTTTAATAACTTGCATGAGTTATTCAAAGGTCTGAAGCTGAGACTAGAACCCACATGTGTCAGACTGTGAGCTGGGTCCCTAGATACTGTCTGCGTGCCTCACTGAATGATTCCTGTCCCTCCTTCCCGAAGGGTTCATCGTATTTGCCGTCCTTCTGGTGGTGTCCTGCCTCATCCTTATCTTCATTGTCGCCCCGCGTTATGGGCAAAGGAATATCCTCATCTACATCATCATCTGCTCTGTGATCGGATCCTTCTCCGTGACTGCGGTCAAGGGTCTGGGTGTCACCATTAGGAAATTCTTCCAGGGCTTACCCGTGGTGCGGCATCCCCTGCCCTACATCCTGTCCCTCATCCTGGGGCTGTCCATCATCATTCAGGTCAACTTCCTCAACCGGGCACTGGATATTTTCAACACCTCCCTGGTCTTCCCTATCTACTACGTTTTCTTCACCACGGTGGTAGTGGCCTCCTCCATCGTCCTCTTCAAGGAATGGTTTACCATGTCTGCTGTGGACATTGTGGGTACTCTGTCTGGCTTTGTCACCATCATTTTGGGTGTGTTTATGCTCCATGCTTTCAAGGATTTGGACATCAACCAAATCAGCTTGCCGCACACGCACAAAAGCACAACTCCCGCCCCCGCCCCAGAGCCCACAGTCATTAAACTAGAAGATAAGAATGTCCTTGTGGACAACATAGAACTTGCCAGCACACCATCACCGCAACAGAAGCCCAAAGTATTTATGATCCACTCTTAAAGCCTGGAACTACCTGAGTAAGAGGAAGTGCCCGATAGTCCAGACTGACCTCTCAAGTTCAAAACCACCAGGTTACTTTCAGCACATCTGTTGCCAAGGGCTATCTATTTTTGAGATATTCTTTTATACCTCACTGCTGTTTCTAGAAGGAAAAAAATCCCTACCCACTAAGGTAGGGGTAGCAAGACTTCCTAGAGATACAGCCCTGGCAACTAAATTCACTACTTTCTGTTGGAGCCAGCAAGTCCCCAGAGCCTCTTCCCTCTGGTTCCCTCGGCACCATCTCTGTGTTGTTGGGGAAGAAGAGAGAATCTGACCTGCTGAATGTAGCCCAGCTCAAGAACTGCCCTCAGATACTGGTTGTCAAGAAATCCTTCACACCAATTGACCTGTTGTGCTGGACTTAGCCCAAGAATGAAATTTGTGGAGGTCTGCAGAGCAGCCTGTGTGCCCTGTCATCCCAAGGTGCATGGCAGGTGCCAGGTAGCCTGATGTTTCCTGGAGATAGAAGCAAGACCCCAGCTGACCGTCTTACTGTGAAAGCCACCTGATGCCTCAGGGAAGTTCCAATGAGTCCATTCTCCAAGCCCTCCAGCCTGGAGGTTGTATCTTGCTGTCCATGTCCCAAGTGGCACCGCCACCCTTCCCTCTCTTTGTCCATCCCAAGGCACCAGTCACTGGCGCATGCACACTGTAACCTTAGAATTCAACAAGAGCAGGGATGTCTCCTTGCCTGGCTCTGCTGGCCAACCCCTAACCTCCCCTGGGAATAGAACAGTATTGTGCGGTCACTCTGGAATTTAGCAGAATGTGACTTCTTTGCAACAAGGAGTGGACCATAATATGACTTGGGGAGGTGGGGGAAGAGTATGAGGAACAATGCCAAGGTTGGAAGGATGGGGTTATGGGCTCTCTGGAAACCTGGAAGTAACTTTCGGGCTGACTCTAAGGACCCAAGTGAGAACCCAGGCCAAAGAAGGCGTGGGGAAATTTCTGAGCCATAGCTCATGGAATTGGTTTTGAATCTCAATAACCAAGTGGGAGTTTAGGATTGGTGCATCCTTGGTGGCCCAACTGGGCCTGAGTCTATCTCTGTTGACAAAACTAGCTGCCCACACTGGAAGTAGCATGCCAGACTCTTCCTCCATCACTTGCTCTGGGGACCATCTTTGGTGACCTCATACTTGGCGTGCACAGACAGCAGTTGAGGAGAGAACTGGGATCCTTTTCTTCCCAGCTGCTTCCAGCTGTGAAAAGAGGGACCACAAGAAGGTGAAGTCAGAAGCCAGTGTGTGGGAAAGAAGGGGGACTTGATCCTCAGTGCAGATAGGGTCCTGGTCAAGCTCCCTGCCTGTTTGCCTGATCCCCTAAGGGCGACCACACCCATGTCAAACCTTTTCTAGCTTTGAACAAGTTCTTAGGGCAGATCAACACTCTGGGCCCCTGTTCGTTCCTTCCATCTCCAAATCCCCAGAGTTTTAATGAATGTGGATTTCTGACTGTAACTGAGATCCAGGCAACACATTGGATCTCGGGGATGGCAGTCAGCTGAGGGTTCTGAGAGCCTGGGCTCTGGGGTCAAGAATAAAGACTTCAGAGTGTGTTTACTTGACAAATGTCTTCCTCTTCCTTGAACACGGAGCAAATTCACACCACTGGTCCCTCTAATGTGATGGGGAGCCAATCCACACCACTGGTCCCTCTAATGTGATGGGAAGCCAATCCCTGATCTCTGAAATTCCAAGCAAAGCCCTCCCGTGTCTTTTTACATTTCTGCCCTCACTTAATTGGGGAAGGACGCTGTTGGAGTGGCTGCTTCTGAAGACGACACCTCAGCTAATGCCTGAGCCCTTACTCGGCTCCAGGCATAGCTAAGAGTTTATGATACATGAAGGATGCTTTCCCAGCACTCATGTGAGGTCACTGCCTTAGCTAAGGTTTCTACGGCTGTGAAGAGTCGCCATGACCACAGCTACTCTTATAAAAAAAAAAAAAGCATTTCATTGGGGGCTGGCTTACAGGTTCAGAGACTTAGTCTATTATCTTCAGGGTGGGAAGCATGGTAGCTTGCGGGCCGACAGGATGCTGGAGAAGGAGCCAAGAGTTCTACATCTGGATCCGCAGGCAGCAGGAAGAGAGTGAGCCACTGGGGCTGCAACCTTAAAGCCTGCCCCTCCAGTGACACACTTCCTCCAATAAGGCCACACCTCCAGTGCCCTGTGCCTATGGGAGTCACTTTCATTCAGATCACCACAATACACCCCCCCACCCCTCAGTGAAGAAAAACAGTGCCAAGAGTCCTGCATGGGCTAATCCCCCAGTGAGTACTCCTTCTTCCTGTGGTTATTAGTTTTAGAAAACCTCAGAACTGAGGTTGTGCATAAGAGAGTATAATGAGGGGGAGGCACCAGTAGTATATGGTCTTTTCACACAGGCCCAGGGAATCTGCCCTGCATAGCCTGGCCCTCCTGCACCTGCCCCTGCAGCCCAAGAGACCCTCACCAAGTCTCCTACCTTCTTTAGAACATGCCCCTTAGTAAGGAGAGATGGTAGCATAGTATCTCAGCCCCCTTCTAAAGAACATACTAGAATCTCAAGATCATTAAAGCCCTTGATAATCCAAGATCTAATGAAGCCAGACCATCTTCTGCACAGGAACAGCAGTCAAGCCTCTCTGCTGGCCATGGAAAACCTGGGGCTTCACTATGGCTCAGGTCATGGCCTTGCGGGAAGACTGGCAGTCTCTAGGGGCCCTCTTTCTGAGAGGTACATGCAATACGTTTTAAATGGTCCACGCAGTGGGACAGTGAAACTGCACACACACACACACACACACACACACACACACACACACACACACACACACACGAGCTGACCAAACAGACAGCATTTCCCAATGACAATTTGTTTTAATTAAATACAAACAAGGAGAAAAAATAAAACAAAAACAAAAAATAACAAAACAAGGCACCATGGCCCATTCAAGTATTTTGCATAGATGTACAAATATTGTAAACAATCAATAGGAGGACAAGAGAGGAGAGGACTACTTCCTGTGAACAATCTCCCAAATAAAAAGAAAATTCACATTTGCCCTGTATCCCAGATGCAGGCGTACACACAGTCGTACAAGAGGACCTGGGAGCATGATTCGGGTATTGGGCTTGAAGTCTATAGAACCTCTAGTAGGCGTCCCTAGGGAAGGGGCACCTTTCCAGTTGGTGTTCCCTGACCTGTGTGTGGAGTCCTTTGGGGGCTGTCACTACAAGCATTTGACAAAACGACCAGCTTTAGCACGTGCCTCCGATTTTAAGAATACGAGTCTCATGCCAGCTTTATCAAATAGGCAAATTACCCGAACCCAGGGGAGACACTGTGGCAAAGGCTTACTGCGGAGTGACGGGGACGGTTGCATGGCAGAGGACTTCAGACCTTAAAATCAACATGTCTTGGGGGAGGGGTCACAAAGGGGGTTTCCTCTTACAGGTGGAAGTCACCAAGGCTAAAGGAACAGAAAGCAAGAAGGAAGTTTACCGGTCAGAAATGGCTTTAGGGCTCTACAGTTGGCAGACAGCTAATTTAGCTTCTCGGGACATTTACAGGCTGGGCTGGGGTTGGATCTCAGTCGGTAGAGTGTTCGCCTAAGGTACTGGAAGATCTGGGTTTGAACCCAGGACTACGAAACCAAGTGTGGCACACACCTGTAGCCTTAGCACTCGGGAATTCCAAGGTCGTCCTTGGCTTTTCAGTGAGTTGAAGGCCAACCTGGGATATGTGAGATCCTGTCTCATATATATACAATTTTGGTTTTGGAGGCAGGGTTTCTCTGTGTAGCCCTGGCTGTCCTGAAACTCACTGTGTAGACCAGTCTGACCTCGAACTCAGAGATCTGCCTGCCTCTGTTGGCACTAAAGGCATGTGCCATCACACCCAGCTACAAACTGAACTTCCCGCGGCCCATCAGAGCCTTGGCTTTGGCCTACCTCAGTGTCCGCTAACATCTCTATAGCGGCTGGACACGGAACAGCTATTTCTATGGCAGAAGAGACCTGGTCAGTCATCCTCATCAACTTAGACCATGAAATATGAACAGTTCAAAAGAAACTCCACATACGGGCTGCCCACGCATGCCTCAGCATTGCCAGGGCATACATTTCAAACACTTTTAAATTTCACTTTTTTTTTTGAGACAGGGTTTCTCTGTGGTTTTGGAGCCTGTCCTAGAACTAGCTCTTATAGACCAGATTGGCCTCAAACTCACAGAGATCCGCCTGCCTCTGCCTCCCAAGTGCTGGGATTAAAGGCGTGCACCGCCACCGCTCGGCCTAAATTTTACTTTCTATGCACAAGAAAATGTTTTTTCAGCCTTGGATGCTCAGACTTGGGGTAGGTTGACCAAAGTGTTCTCTCGCAATCATCCACTCCTCTCTCTGTGGTAATAGTCTCTTTCCTCTCCTAAGTGGCAAACAACCCTTTGGGACAGACACTGAAGTCTAGATGTATCTGTATGGGACACTTCATGGTGCAGAAGGAAAGGAAGGGGCCCCTACCTGTGGCAGCCTTCCTAACCTTTGGATAACAGAGGCGGGCATGGAGTTGTAAACAGAGTAGCTGCCAGCACCTCTACCAAATTAAAAAAGTTTCTGCCATCTTCCTGTTCACAGTATAATTTTATGGAATGGAGGTGGCATCAAAGCAATGAAAACGGCAAAGGGAAAAAGGAAACGATTATCGAAGAGCAAGGAAATGGGTCTTTTTCTGGTACGGCTCAAAGGACCGAAGGCTTGAGGTTCGGAAGGCTCATGCTGGCACTGTGGCGCTGTCCCTCAGGGCCATCTGCCTCCTGAGCTGAGGGAGAAAGGCCACGCAGCCCACAAGAACGTCTAGAAGGTACGGGGTCGGGTTTAAGGGGAATGGTGTTTCTAACTTGGTGGTGAGCGGCAGGGTGATTTTAGGACCCAAGCTGTAGTCACTGGGCATTGGACGTAGCACGTGTAAGGAAAGCTGTCAGAAGGCAGGAAATGGACCTAGGTCCGTGCCACCTTCTGCATCACGGCTCAGGGAGTCAGAGTGGGAACCGCATGGTCACCCTGAGGAGAAAGGTGTTTTCCTGAGATCTTTCTACCCTCAGTCATGCACCCCACATCTCCCACCTGCCTCCAATCCCTAGCGCTCGAGTTGAGAGTTTCCTCTGTGAAGAGCTATCAGGAAGTTTTCTATAAATGGGAGTCAGAAGCTTGTCTCCTCCTCAGGGAGGCTTCTAAGAGCTAGCGACTGCTCGCTGTGGTGGTGGGAAGGCCCCTAGAGGACCTTCTGGAGTGCTATCCCAGCACCTTTTGGATGATGGAAGATGGCCTCTCAGAGGCCAAGCCCAGCAACTATGGAGGGACTGCCCTAACAAGCAGAGCACCAAGACGCCCTCCTGAGCTCTTTTCATGAGGATCACATATAGGCAGTAATTAGGAGAGAACCAATGGAAGTGTGTGATAAGACCCTGGCTGAGGAGGGTTAGGGGCCCCCTGCCCAGATCTGGTTTACTGTGGCTGCTGGCAGCTTCCAAAGAGATCAGCTATCTCTTTAGAATCAACAGCCCCACCTCAGAGCTGACCACGAGGGAGGGGCGGGTGCCCCTGTGTATACTTTCCTCACAACTGGGGTTTCAAACATGCCTGTCCCCTCAGTATACCTGTGACTACCTCAAAAAATATCACCTAGGATATAGGTCAGAAAAAGGGGGAGGACCCTTTTCCTGCTTGAGGCCCAAACCCACAATTACATGCAGAGCTGGCATGTTCTCTCTCTCTGCTCCTCTTTCTTTCTCCTTCACCCAAGCCTCACTCAACTCAATGCTCGTGAGATCCAGTGCAGGAAAGTCCAGTGCCTACCCCGTGAGGCAGGATCCTGATTTGTCCGTCATCGGCATATGGTCACCAGCAAGTCAGGGATGCTATGGTTTCACCATCAAAGCACCATAGGATAGGGAGGTTGGAGGAGGAGGGGGCGCGCGAAACAATGGGGACGGGCAACTGGGAATTCTGAGAGTCCTAACAACCTTTGGCATCACGGCTCAGAGGGGACACAGGCTGACCACTCCCCACTGCTGTCGACGCTGCCTACAAATAGTACCTGTCTGAGTCAGAGAGTGACCCGTGTAAATATGGGAACGGGAACGTGAGGAGCGGCGGGGGAGCATGGCTTGACGCATGCAGTCATTTGACCAGGAACAGGCACCTTGACCAAGCCCTGGGGCAGGGATGCAGCAGCGGCTTCCTCAGTCCCTGAAAGCTAAGAGACAGGCAAGGCCCAGCCTCTCTGTAACCTGGATCCCAGAGGAAGGCCAATCAACAGTTCTCCTGTGTACTTGCCAGCATGGGACCTGCGTAGATTCCTTCTCCAAGCTGGGCACAGAAGGAGGGATCTCCAGCTTGAGACCCTCCCTGACCGTCATTGGTAGCTCTTGGCTAGGGGGCTGAGGGAGAATCTTCCCCATCTTCTTCCATCAGCCTCCCTTTCCCGCCAGGGCTGTATATTGCACAGGACAATACTTAGAAGCCATCAGATAGAAGTCCCTCTGGGCCTCAGAGGAAACAGGAGGCACTGGGGCGAGAAGGGAGATTCTGGAGATGAGGGGGGCTCCAGAAGGCTGGAGAAGCTTCAAGGTGGCCAAGCAGACTTCTTTCTTCTGGATCTTCCATGGCATCCAGAGTCTTCAAGGGAAACAAGAAACTTCTTATACAGTTCTAGATCTTGGAGCTAGTTGTTCCTCCAGCCCTCTGTGATCTGTACTCAGGAAGCTGGAAAGAAAGAGAAAGGGAAATATGTAACCTCAGTGCTGGCCAGTGGGACTAGGGGCAACTACCCTCCTGCTCTTGACAGTCAAGAACAGAAGCACGATCTTCAGAAGTCTGTCCCTGTGGCTGCTTTCCTGGACCAACAGCCCTCACAGTTAGAGCAAGTTGTGTGCCGCCCTAAAGCTATAAAGTCGCCCCCTCCTCTTTCATCAGGCTTCAGTACAACAGTTTCCCAATGATTCATGGGAATACAGGGATGGCAACCAGCCTCCTTGCCTTATTCCTTCTGACCCAACTTCTCAGACTAAGCTAAGAACAGAGCAGTCAAAGAGAAGCATGAAGGAAAGGGACATAAGTGGACCCTCATAGCAACGTTATGGAGCTGGTCCCTACTGTTTCCTAGGCTTTTTTAAAAATTATCTTTCCTGGTGAACCACCTTACTGGTACATCTTAAGTCTGATTATCTAAGACAAGGGCTCAAGGTGGCCTAGCTGTTCAGGTGCCAAGGTAGCTGGAAGCCACCAGAACTCAGGCTTCTCAAATGAAGGCAAATCATACTTTGTTCGTGTAAAGTACAGTCAAATAGTCCTCCAAGCAAGGTCTTGTTCCTGCTTCTGTTCTAGAAGCTCCGCCAGGATGATGAGAGCAAACGGCTTTCTCAGTCACATACGTCCCCCGCTGCTATTTCTGGGTCCTCCTGGGAACTCACCTTTGGAACAGATATTGTGGGAGGCCGGGGAGGCTGAGGACCAGCAGTCGGTGGCTGCAGCAGGGAGCCACCTCCTGGCCTGGGAACCGTCCTGTGGCCTGGCACAGGGTTTGCTGGAAGTGCCTTCTGGGGCGGCCGAGGCCTAGAGAAGTCCTGGAGGAAGCAAGAAGTCTCATTTGAGGGGCTCCTTTCAAAAGAAAATATGCCTAACATTTTATGGATCAAAACCAAATATTTTACATACTAGATGGTCTCATTTTGAAAGAACTGGCATGTGTGTGTAAGTGTGGGGTGAAAATAGTATATTCACATACTAAGGAAAAAATAAGAACTTTTTGAAAAACAAGTTTGCTATATCTATTAAATTTAGAGATGGGGCCGGGCGGTGGTGGCACATGCCTTTAATCCCAGCACTCGGGAGGCAGAGGCAGGCGGATCTCTGTGAGTTCGAGGCCAGCCTGGTCTACAAGAGCTAGTTCCAGGACAGGAACCAAAAGCTACGGAGAAACCCTGTCTCGAAAAAAATAAAAAAAAAATTTAGAGATGGGGTATGGCGTGGTGTGTACACTTTTAAGTCCAACACTCAGGAGGTAGAAGCAGGTGGATTTCTGTGAATTCAAGGCCAGCCTACTCGACATAGTAAGTTGCGGGCCTGCCAGGGCTATATAGTGAGACCCTGTCTCAAAGCTAAAATAATTAATTAAATAAATGTACAAATAAATAAATAAATGGAAATGGTCGTCTCCAGTGTGACACTTCCTGTTGGCCATGTTAGAGACTGTTTGCACAGGTGCACCAGGTTGATCTGCAAGAATGTGCCCTGTCCTCTGTTTCTAACACCAGAGAACCTAGAAACTTCTGAAGTTTCCGCAGTGAGAGAAAAAAATGTAAAAGTATCCAGGGCCATGGGGTCCAGCAGGCACAAAGGACAAAGCAGGTGGGGAAGGGCTAATGAGGACAGTCATCTGCAAGAGAAGCTGAAATGGCAGAGGAGTGTATACAAAACAGACTACCACGGTCCCCTGCCTGAGGCCAACAGAAGGAAACAGCAGCCATCCAGGAAGGGCCAGAGCAAACTGAAGACAGAGGGAGGGCTACCCTGGGATGGGATCTCAGTGGGTGGGTGTGGTCCAGGGAAACAGAAAGAATGGTGTGAGTGTGTGTGTGTGTGTGTATGTGTGTGTGTATGAGAGAGAGAGAGAGAGAGAGAGAGAGAGAGAGAGAGAGAGAGAGAGAGAGAGAGAGAGAGGCATGTGCACACACCTACCCACAAGCAGTACACAGACAAATTAAAACTTTAAGAAATCATGGTTTTTACTGTTGCTACTTTGTTTGGATTATTTTTTGTCTATCCATGGCATGATGATTATTTTTAACCTTCTCAAGATGGCAAAATTTTCCTTATTATTACCTAACCATATCTCTATCTAGCATGTGGTACCCCAAGTCATTTTATTTTACTCCATTTCTTTCTTTTTATAGCCTTTATCCCTACCAACCTAAATAATTTGTCAGGCTTTTACTTTCTCTCTCTAGCCACCTCTGACTAGGACTAAAATGCAGGCGGGGCAGGGCACCTTTTCTGTCTAGGTCATGGGGCTGTTGCAGGCTTTCTGGGCAGTTGGTACGCAGGAAGCCCTCAACTCAACAAGTACATAAATGAGTGAGGTATTCAAACGTCCTAAAATAGATCCATATTTCTGTGCTACTCAAATTTTTTTAACTATAAATAATTATTATCATTGTTGTTGTTGTTTTGAGTCAGGCTCTTTCTACATAGCCCTGGCTGTCCTGTAACTCACTGTGTAGATCAGGTTGGCTTCGAACTCACAGCAATCCACCTGTCTTGGCCTTCCAAATACCTGGCTATTTGTATTATTTTTTATTATGTGCATGTGTGAGCGTGTGCCTTGTGTGTTCAGGTGCCCATAACGTCCAGAGGATCCCTTGGAACTCACAGATGTGGGTGCTGGGAACTGAATTCAGGTCCTCTACAAGAGCAGCGAGTGTTCTTAACCAAAAGCCATCTCTCCAACCCCCTACTCAATTTCTTTAAACAAATGCTTTAAGGGGCAACTATAGCCTGCCCCCAAGCTGATGAGATTTGAGAAAAGCCAGTTCCTTAGCCTGCCTGCGAAGGGCACTAGTGAACTCCAAGCCAGGCACGGGGTAGGTGTACAGGAAGCAGACACATTGCAGAGTTGGTCTCCTCACAAGAATGACTTCTCGGAGCAAAAAGTGAAGCTAGAGAAGTCAAAAATGTCTGAGACCAAAAACTCACACACCAGCTCTACCCTTTCTGAGGGAACCTAGACTGCGCCAGAGAACTCAGGCTTTTCAGGGAAAGACAGTGGGGTGTGGGTGTCAGGTCCCAGCTGGGAACCTGCCAAGTGAGCCCTTGGTGGTTGTTATCTGCACAGGAGCCTGATCAGGTCTGCCCTGGGTCTCCCAGCACTGGGCCTCCCAAAGCAGCCAGTCTGATGCCATAACCTGATTCTTGGTGAGTGAAGAAGCAGAGCAGAGGCCAATAACCTGCTGCAAGCAAGGAGAGCATGGTGAGGATTGGCCAAACTACGTCCCCTCCACAGGTGGCAGCAAGGCAACTTTATCCAAAGAGTCCATTCGCATTCATAAGGTGGGCCTCCCTGAGCACGCTCAGTTTAAGGTCATAATTTACACAATAATCAGAGCAGGTCCATTTAGGGGCCTGTATATCTCGATGCCACGGAGTCGTGTTTAAAGTGATTAGGTAGGCCTGAGTCTGGGTATGCTAAATTTGAGATGCATCAAGTCAATCTCTCCCCCACATGGATTTGTAGATCACATCCCTGCCCCCACCCCGGGAACTTAGAAACAGCAGCTTCACAGCACAGAACCCAACCCAATACCCTCAGCTCTGCCAAAGTCTCACTGCCCTAGGGACCATACCAAACCCTCACGGAACCATGCATGCCCTAGGGACCATACCAAATCCTCACTGCCCCTGTGGTTGCTGTGATCAGAGAAGTCCAGGCCCTGGGGACACTTTTGGACCATGCCAAAAGAAAGGAGTCTCCTAACACCAAACACATAGACAGTTCTAGAAGCCACTATGCTGGGCCACTGCCCCCAAAACACCCATGTGTCCACTGGGGCACTTAGACCAGAGTAGACCTCCTAAGCAAACAAGCCACTGGGTGAGGGTTCCAAGCTGTGAGTACCAGCTACAAATGAGGGGCCCAGTCTAGACCTGCCGCCTCCCAGAGACCCCCCTCAGATAAGCAAGGCATCAGGTGCACCCTTTAGTGAGACTCCTTGATGAATGGGAGCTAACATGGTGGGTACACTTTGCAGGGATGGGTACGATGAGAGAGGTACAGGGCACTAAGTTCAGCCTTACAAGCGTTAGAGAAGCCCCCTCAGGAGGAGTGTTATCTCCAGTCACAACTGAGGATGAATAGGAGCTGGCCAAGCAAAGGGATATGGGTACGTATGAGTCAAAACAGCATCTGCAATGATCTGGAGGGGACAAGAGCTCAGGGAACTGAAAGAAGCTAATTTGGGGTACAAAGTGGGTGGAATCAAATAGGAAAAAGGCATCATGTGGTTTAGGGACTGTGCAAGGAAGAAACTTCTTCCTCTTACTGCTGAACTTCTGGAATCCATCTGATTCACCAGTACAAAGGAAAGATGATCAAATCCAACCAGTACATCACCCTAGGCTCCAGTGTCCCTCATTGCAGGCACCCTGCTATGGGCAATGTCCCCAGCCCAGGGTTGCTGAGAACTCACTTACCTGGGACAGGAGGCAGTTAGGTGCAGGGGGCATGGGCCGGCTTGGGGGAGGCCTCCTGGTGGACTCCTTTCTTTCTACCAGAGCCCTAGTTTCCGGGGAACTCCTGGCAGCCTGGTTCAGGTGTACTGGCAATGGTACAGGTGAGGGTTCAACACTCAAGTAGTCTGGAGGGGGCCGGGGAGGAGGATGGGAGGGCTTTCGGAGAGTTTCAGGGGTGTTGGCCACCTGTATGGAGGAGACAAGGGGCAGCTGAGATGAGGCAGCTTCTCTATGCGTGTGTTTCAGTGAGGTGACCAGAGTCTCACTTAAAGGCAGGACAGACACCTGACCTATTCAGCCCATCAGATAGCAGGCTTCAGAACCAACTGATGTGTCTCCCAGACCAATAAAATGGCTTTCATTACCAATCCCATGGACACCCGTGAACTCTTAGAAAGACTGACAGAGATCAAAGGAAACCAATCAAGCTCAGTGGTGCAAAGACTTTACCTTTCGCTTGCCCTGGGGCGTCTGCAACTTGAAAGTTGGGTTGGCATGGCCAGTTCCACCACTCTGAGACACCCTGAAGGGACAACTGGAAACAGAGAAGAGGGGACAGGGAGGAGGGAGGTGGTCAGGGCTGTGTGTGGACTGAGCTCCTCTGGCCCAGGCCAACTGACAAACCTAATGAACCCTCCTCTGGAGAGAGTAGGGTGACCCTCTCAAACCTGTCTCCTAAATAATAAATAGGTACACACGTGACCAGGGGAGAAACCCAAGGAAGGGATCGGCCTTGCCCCTTACTCCTCAGTAAGGAGACAGAAATTCATTGGTCATTACTAAACCCCGCCCCCAGGCATGGACCCAGAAGGTGTCAGGATAGGAAAAAAAAATCCCTTCCAGCAAAGGACGTTTAACAGGACTCTTGAGAATCTGCTCCATCAATATCTAAACGAAACAGTCATTTGTCTTCTCGGGTTAATGTCTAGCTATTCCCGTGACTGCCTTTAGCTTGCCATCCCTTCTCTGTCCATCAGTTTGTTGCTCTTTAAAAAATGAGGTACAAATTAACCAGGTGGAGGAAGGCAAGGAGATTTTATGTCAGACCCCAATTTGAATGGGCTGGGTACTTTCTATTGAGAAGAATCCACAAGTGATGACCACACTCAGTAGAAATCACTTACAGCCATTACCTAACAGTGTCTGCCATGGTGACAGAGCAGGTCAGAAGGGATAAAGGTGGCATGTCCCCTGCACTCGTCTCCCCAGAATTAGACCCATCACCACCAACCCACCAACTCTTCCACTAGGGTTCTGCAGACTAGAAGGGACCCCCGAGTCCTTGCGGGCATAGTGCCCATCCCACCTGAACTGCTGCCGTAGCTTGAAGGGGAGGGCCGAGGGCTTGCCCAGTCTGTGGCTCTGTCTATAGCAGTGGCACAGCAACACGAGGACAGCCAGCACGAAGAAGGCCGAAAACACCCCGGCTATCACGGGGCCCACACCTGCCGGAAGAGAGCACAAGCCGGAGGATTAGAGGCTGCCCTGGCTACGGTAAAAACGATACAGTCGCGATTCTTCCTCGGATAGTTGGTTTCCATTTCATTTGTGCAACTTATTTTAAACACACATACATCATATACTATTGGGGCATTAATACTAGCTTTAAGAGTCAAGCCCACTGGCTTTTCTTTAAAAACACACACACACACACACACACACACACACACACACACACACGCACAGTCATTTCTTTCAACGGCAGAGAAACTCTCCAAAGCAGTTCCGACTCTGTCATTTGTCATTAGCTTCCAGTTAATAGATTTTCATAAAGTCAGCCTACATCACAATCTTTCCCAGAGGCAGGCCAGTGACCAGAAAATACTGGCTCAGACACCTTGGGATTAGAACTCTCACCCTCGACCCTCAATCTCACAGTCGGTTCCAGAGCCACCTCAACAGTTCCACGAATTATGATTACACGAATTAAGTTTAAATACACAAAGTACACTTGGGTCAATAAGTAAAGTCCACTTTACTCTATTTTACATGTTACTTTGTTTGTCTTTTAAGACATGGTCTCACTCTGTATCCTAGGGACTCACTGTGCAGCACAGATTGGCCTCACAATTGCAGCAATTCTCCTGCCTCAACCTCTTAAGTGCTGGGATTACAGGTGGAAACTACCACACCCAGGTTTTAGCCTTGTATTTTTTAAAAATTTCTTCTGCAATTATTCAAAGACGAAGTTTAGAAGCCACAGGAGTAGAGGTCCCCGGACTTCTCCTAAGAACTATAAAACTTAAAACTTCTCTGCTTTCCCATTTCTTAGCCTTTGTTTAGTAAAAGGCAGAATAACCCAATACAGTACACCCCAGGACTGTGATTATTTCAAGTGCCCATAAAAGGACTAGTTACTAGTTAGTCAGGCAAATATCTGTGACTATCCAAAGACCTAGAGTCTCTCTTGATCTCTCTTCCCCTCCTAGCAGTAAAAGGGCAAAAAGGCAGCTAAGCCTAAGCCATGCAGGAGCAACTGACTTCCTCCGACTCAGCCTCTTTTTTCTTGGCTCCTCCCTGGAGAATGAAGAGAGTGAAGCCAACTTAACTTGGACTTTGCAACAGGCAAATCCAGCCTATGGCTCACAGCCACCAGTATTCCACTGTACCTATGACTCCAGCCCAACACATTTGTAGACAACAATGCCATATTTCAATGCAAACGGGTTGGTGGCTCCTGACCATCAATCACCCATCCCCATGGTCTCCATTGATCTCACTTACTCTTGGGGGGCAAAGGACCACTGTCAATGCTACCGCCATCTCCTGGGGTGTTACAGAACGGTGGAGCCCAGCCAGCGAAGCAGTGACAATTCTTGTTGTTGTTGCAGACCTAGAGTGAGGGGCCACAGACGGTTCAGCACCTAGGAGAGCGGTGACCTCCCACAGGACACACCCCTGCGACAACAGCATCCAGGAACCCAGGCTTCTGCACACATACCCCGTGACCATTGCACTTTTTCCCGCAGCCTTCGGTCTCAAAGAAGGAGGTGTTCCTGCACTGTCCTTCAAAGCAAATCTGCAGAAAGGGAGAGCAGCCATCAGTAGAGCCACAGGGAGATGGGGAAGGTTTGGGACATGGGAGTTTTGTACTGAAGATGAATGGGAACCCCAAAAGGTAACTCTTCGATTGATATATTATAGTGATAAACACAAAGAGCCCCAAAAGGCAGGGCAGCAATTGAATTCTGCTATCACCTTTGTGATTGGGGAAGATAGCAAACACTGCTAAAATGTTACATTCAACAATTAGGACATATTTACAGTCTGGTATTATCTTGGTTATCTGCTATCCAAAAATGAACTTATGCCTGAAAATAATAATTTTTTATGCCTGAAAAATAATAATTGTGGCGGAACTTACTCTGTGCTGGGCATCGTACCATGGGATTCCTTTGTTTTTATAACTTCACTAACACAATTACATAAAGGAGATGGGCAGCATTATTTTCCTTGGTTTCCCTGGCCCTTAGACTACTTCTGCTTCATGTGATGGTTAATGATACAGATGACAGTGGCGAGTTCACTGACATGCCTAATCCACAGTCTATGGGTGGGCACCTCTAGACGGGCACCTGTGAGTGCGATGCTATTACTCTGGGAGCCGAGTGCCTTCCTCCAAAGCCCACACTTCTCAATTTCTGTCTCTATCTCGGTTTCTGAGGGAGGCTGGGGCAGGGACTCACGTGGTTGTGACCACACTTGGTCCCAGTCATCACCAGGCCTGGGTCCAGCATGTCACCTTCCCCTTCCTCCTCCTCAGGACCCCGGTAGACATGGGTGCCCCGACAGTGGATCCGTCTCCCATTCAAGGTGATGGTGGTGTCAATGGATACGGCATTGGATTCCAGGGGCCGGGCCTGGGTGCTCTGACACTGGATCTTCCCGCACTTGGCATCCCTGGGCGGGGAGAGAAGACAGTATCAAAGACTGGGGAGGAGCTGGGGATGCAGAGCTTCAGTGTTAGGAGGGGTAGGGCCAAGGACCAGTTTAGAGACCTGAGGAAGACCAAGAGAGGGGGAAGGCTCCTTGTCTCTCAGACCAAGGCCAAGAGCTGAACTTGAGATGCCCTAGCTTCAAGGATAACTGCAAGGCATGAGTCATGGCTGTCACCTTACATTCATCACACAACCACTCACCCAGACACTCCAGCGAGGAGCTGGGTCTCCCTCTGCCTTCATTGCTCCTGGGATTGAGCATTTCTCTCCCTGTCAATCATCCCTCCTACAGTCTCCCTGACTCATGCCTGTTACTACCTTCTTTCTATCCTGACCTGCCAGACACCGAGGCCCTGACTGCTCTGTCCATAGGAGGAGACCAAACTCTTCCAGCAATGCCTTTAAATCTCTCAGGATCCATCCCACTTCCCCTTTAAGTCTCTCAGGATCCACCCCACTTCCTCTAGCCGCTCTCCTCTAGTCCCCACAAACTGCAGCTTACTGTATTTATCGGCTTGTCAACTGTCAGTTTTTCTCTAACCTCTCTACATAAAACACTTCTTTACACACCAATGTGACTCCTCACCCTGTTCATGTAAATATCTGCTATAGAACTCAACCAAAGAACTTCTTGGGGAAACCACCCCAAGCTATTAACTATTACACTGATTATCATAATGCTCTAGACCAGTGTTTTTCAACCTGTGGGTCGTGACCCCTTTGGGGGTCAGATGACCCTTTCCCAGGCACCACCTAAGACGGTAACAAGTATTTCCGTTACAATTCACAACAGTCACAAAGCTACAGTTATGAAGTCACAACAAAAATAATTTTCTTGTTGGGGTCACCACAACACAAAGAACTATTAAAAGGTCGCAGCAGTAGGAAGGTGAGAATCACTGCTCTAGACACTCAATATACGTCTTGCATGTGATAAATCTGCAAAGGCAGTGGGAAAGTGGGTAGGTAAAAGATGGGTCAGTGGGTGCCTGGGATGAATGAATCAGAGATGAATGAACTAGGGATGAATCAAAGAACAGGCCATAATCTTAGCACTCTGCAAAAAATGGTCCAAAAGGGCCATCTTCTGCCCTGCCCCCCCCCCCTTTTTTTTGACAGGGTTTCTCTGTATAACAGCTCTGGGTGTCCTGGAACTTGCTTTGTAGACTAAGCTGGTCTCAAACTCACAGAGATTTGCCCGCACCTGCCTCTGAATACTGGGATTAAAGGCCTGTGCCACCTCATCCAGCTATCCTGCCCTGCTCTAAGAGAGTCCCCAAAGCAACCTTGCTCAACGTCCTAAGAAGCAATGCTACAAACACACTTCTTTATTACTTCCTTAGGGCCAACTGAACCATGCATTATCAAACAACAGAGAGAGAACAGATACAGGATCTCACTGGCTTGTTTAAAAGGGCCAGCCACGCCAAGCCAGGTGGGAGTGAAGAGAACAGAGCTCGGATCACTTGGTCACTCTTTTCTCCCATGGTCCTCACCTGGGGCTGCACTTCCTGTATTTGCCATTCAAGCCCTTGCCACAGTTTCCATAAGTGTCTCCAGCTGCATTCACCCGCTCAAAGCAGAGATCGAGGGCAGGCCGGGCTCCTAGGTGTGCAAGAAACATCTGTCAGTGAGCAAGCCTGCCAGAGGCTCCCAGCGGCAGGGCTAGCCTCAGGTAATATGATACTTCTATATTCATCAAGACTGTTTCCGGCAAATTATTTTAGATTGGTTTTAACACTTCATTGAAGACGTGTACCTATGATAGTTGCACGTTAAGCTCGCTTGCTAATGAAGAAGGGCTGTCCTATTTCTGGTCTTCAAAAGATTAATAATCCATGTCCAAAACATTAAAGAGCTAAACCATATCTTTGGAAATTTTTCTTTATAATTTGCCCTGTTTTCTCTCTCCTGTATCAGAGAAAACCAACAATCTTTAGCTGTGTGTTTTCAAGGAAAAAAATTATTTTTTTTTGAGACAGGGTTTCTCTGTAGCTTTGGGGCCTGTCCTGGAACTAGCTCTTGTAGACCAGGCTGGCCTCAAACTCACAGAGATTTGCCTGTCTCTGCCTCCCAAGTGCTGGAATTAAAGGTGTGCTCCACCACCACCGCCAGGCTATCTTCTTTATCTTCTGCATCCTTTATATTCGATTCTGGGGCATCTTCTTGAGAGAATGCAACAAACAGCGGAAGCATCTTCTCTCTTTCTGTTCTGCATTTTGTGTTGTGACTCAGTTTGTTGCAGGGGTGATCATATTCAGGACACGGAACTCAGCAGCACGCCATTCATTGCATGACTCAACTGGGCTACTTTTAATTGGCTGGTACTACAGGGCACCTAGGACACTGTTGCTACAACTGGCAACAGTACAATAAACATCTTCGAAAACATCTTCACACCCATCCCCAAGCACAATTGGAGGCTGTTTCTAAGTCCTATTAATTCCCAGCTCCTGGAAATGGTGGCAGATGGAGTCCCATACCTGGATCTTGGGAGAGGGGCTCAGAAAATGGGCAACAGTAACGAGTTTCTGAATGTGACCACAATTAATTAAAAACAGAACGTGTAATGAATCCAAGGTGTTTCTTCTGGCAGAGCTTATCCATACTACATCATGTGACTTCACGGCATCTATGGTTCTCAACACACTTGCACACTTTGCACACAGCCAATGAATGGCACTGGAATCCCTCAGCTCAGACGTGAGGCTACTTTATATTATGAATGGCCGTGTTTGTACTGCTGGCTTGCTGTCTCTTGTGCAGCGGGTTAATCAAGGAAAACACAGTCTTAATGTTTTCCCTACTATTATACCTCAGCAGTTAAGCACCAGATTAATGTTTGCATTTTGTTAGATGGTTTGATTTGTAAAACTGCTGCTTGAGTGGCAGACTTGAGTTTCTTAAAAACAAACAAGTAAACAATAATCCTAGCCGAGTGTGGTGCATGCCTTTAATCCCAGCACTTGAGAGGCATAGGCAGGTGGATCTCTGAGAGTTGAAGGCCAGCCTGGACTACACAGTACATTTTAGGCCAGCAGGCAATCAATACAAAGTGAGACCGTATCTCAAAAACTAAAAATAAAAATTACTAAATGAATCATTATTTGGGGTTAAAACAGAATTTTCAACGATTTCTGGTAAAACCATAGACTTATTTCTGTAATTTTTGTCCCACATATTGATGTGAGTTGGTGTTCCTATCACTGACAATGGTAAAATCATGATATCGATCAACTCTTAAGAAGTGCTGAAGACCCTCGATGACCTGTACCATCAACTATTTAGCCAAGATTTAATTCTTTATGTAAAAAGCAAACAAGGATACTCATTGATTAAAGTATAAATTTGCGCTGGCAAAATTATCAATAAATGTTTATTTATATGTCTATTTTTATATCCTCTTCTATTCCATTCCATGTAAAAAACTTTTTAGAAAAAAGGGGGAGTGGGAAAAAATTAAGCCTACTATAACTACTGGGACCAGTAAGTGCATTAAAAGTTCTGCTATCTCTAAACTGCTTTCTGCAGGGGTCTGTTTCCTCATACCCTCCACAATACCATAGTATGATAGGTGTTGCTATTATTATATCACTTGCTGTCTTTGTGATCTGACACGTGAAAAACTCCATTTAATGATTAACTCCATTAATTTAATTTAATTTAATGATTAACTCCATTAATTTAATGATTAACTCCATTAATTTAATTTAATTTAATGATTAACTCCATTTAATCATTAACTCCATTAATGATAGGTGTTGCTATTATTATATCACTTGCTGTCTTTGTGATCTGACACGTGAAAAACTCCATTTAATGGTAGCTACAATTTATTTTCCTTTAATATGGCTGAGGTTAAGCATCTTTTGTAGCTTAAGGGTCGTTTGCACGTTCTTTTACTCTCCATGCCCACTTCATTGGTGTGTGTAGGGGAAGGGTACTGCTATCCAATACCCTGGGAGAACTAAAAGCCTCAAGGGACTAGGAAGAATCCTGTCACCTGGCTGCCCCTGGATGTCTCCCTTGAGCTAAGAGGATGAGAGGTGGTGTTTGAAGACGCTCTGAAGCCGAGGTTCTAGGCCATGCTAAGGGGCCAGGGGGGGAGAACCGGCTCAGAAGCGGTGGGTGGAAGACAACAAGCTCTCCAGCAGGGTCCTTACCAGGTCCCCAAAGCTGCTGGCACTGCTCCTGGTAAGTCAGGCACATGCCATTGTAGCAGTAGGCCTGGCCGCCCTCGCAGGGGGTGCCGTCCATCTGGTAGAAGTTGGTGGGGCAGTGGGGAGACTTGCCAGTGCAGAACTCGGGGAGGTCACACTGCCGCACCTGCTCGCGACACGGGGTTCCGGGAGCCACCAGCTGAGTTGAAGAACAAGAAAAGCAATGCAGTCATATCTTCCCTGTCCCACAACCCTTTCAGCCAAGAGCTCATCAGCCTCTCCTCCGCGGATCACAATTTTCCATTACCTTGATATCACAGCACCTTATTAGCACATGGCTTCATTAGCTCAGGCCGTCATTGGCCTTCTGATATGAAGAGTGACTGAGCACCTTCGAAACTGTACCCACAAAGACAAACACAGCTCACTAACTTTTCACAGCAGTCTTAGGAAGCAGGTGAGAAATAATATGTATGTAACAATTTATAGTTTATTTCGTGCCTGGGCAATTATAGTACCATTATGCATCTTCCCCTAAGTGTCATTGGGACTTCATTTAGTTTGAGGGGCAGTCCTATATAAAGAAGTGAATCACAATGCTCAGAGTCTCGTGGTAAGTGGCAGATCTGTGCCCTGATATGCGCACATATGCCCGTGCACACACACACACACACACACACACACACACACACACACAGAGAGAGAAGACTGGCATTTGTGTGAATTTTCAATTTACAGCCTTCACGTTTTGTTCTTGAAACTAGCCTCAAACTCATTTTTGAGTGCAGACTGGCCTTGACATCATGGCAATCCTCCTGCCTTAGCCTCTGGAGTACTAAGACATGTCTCGCCACACTAAGCTTGCGACTCCAAACTCTTCATCAGCAATACATCCCCCCGCTGCCAGGCCAAGCGTGAGGCTGAGTGCTGTCCAAACACTTAGGTCACCTGACCTCACAATATCCGTGAAACAGATACAGTTACTTATCCTCTTCTGCAGATCAAAGAATCAAACAACAGCACATTTGGGAAAACAATAAAAACCAATTTAAAAGCTTTGACTTCGGCTTCCCCCCGGCAGAGTGTTTAGTACTCATGCGGGTCTGCAGACAGACAGCTGAGACCTCAGATGGTTGGTGAAGTGCCAGAATTCACACAGGCAGGGCTGGACGTCAAGGACGCCTTTGTCAGGCTGCATCTGACACATGGGAGCCGGGTAAAAGGTCACTTCATGCTTATTCTCCAGCCTTCATTTGAGACTCGAAGGACTCAACCCAGCACAGCCTCTCTGGGGCTGCCAGGTCAAACAGATGATGTCCAAGTCCCCCTGAGCCAGGCAAGGACACCTGTGACTCAGAGCAAAGCCCTCCCTTGATCCTAGAGACCATGCTACCCAGAAGCTCTTCTCGGGAGAAAAAGCAGGCAGGCCCCTCTGCTAGCGGGCTTGTGTGAGGAAGGCCAGTGCAAAGAGGAGAGGCCTCAATCCATACACACACTCAACTACACAATGTGCACTCAGCTATCTGAGGGCGGGACAGGCTGCAGCTCTATTCTGAAACTCCTCTAGAGTCCAGATTTCAGGTTAATAAGAGAACTCAGAGGTACAAATATCACTAATAGTGTGTGTATGTGTGTGTGTATATATACATATATATGTCTAACAATGCATATGTACATGAATAATAGTGTATGTGTGTGTATATATACATACATATATGTCTAACAATGCAATGTATATGAATAGATGTGTATAATTATAAATATATTTGCTGCTATATATGTGTATTATATAACCCAGCAAGGCCTAAGATAAGCTTTATAGTCAACATTAAGGTGAAATTAAAATAATTACCTTATGAAATAATTTCTTCATAAAGACAATAATTAGTCTCATATCCATTTGGGTCAGATTTTGTCACTAAAACTTATCATTTTTTTTCCATTTCGGAACTTTTTGAATGATCAGATTTAGATTTAAAAAGTTCTCTTATTCAGTGCTATGTGATCATTAATAGTAATAAATTATTTTCTGCATGGATATTAGGAATATGGGTTCCAAAGTCAGGGAGAATTGGGTTCTCGCCCTGATGGAACCCTTGACTATGTCACCCGTGTCCTAATGACCCTGGTTTCCTCCCCTTAAAAATGAAGGCAATAAAATTGCCTCACAGGCCATCTATGAAGATTTGACTCAGAAAACCTGTGTAAAATTCTCAGCCTGGTGCTTGACATCTACCAATATTGCCACTGATGTTAATCAAAATCATGATTTTCTTTTTAATGTGTTAAAAAAAAAAATGAAGCCAGCTGGGCCTGGTGGCTGAGGCCTACAATCCCTCCTGGGAGGTGATGTCAGAACTGGCCTGGACTCCAGAGTAAGTTCAGGTCACCCTGAATAATTGAGTGAGATCTTGTTTCAAAATGAAAAGATATATATCTTAATCTTATATAAATACACATATACGTATGTATGTATGTATGTATGTATGTATGTATGTATGTACGTACGTACGTACGTACGTACGTACGTACTTCTTGGGGTGATTTGAACACAAGGAGGCCCAGGGTAGAAAAACAGTAGGTTTAGTTGAAGGGACATTCTCAGTTCCAAATACCTAACACTCTCTCTCTCTTCTTCTCCCTCTCCCTCTCTCTCCTTTCCCATCCTCTCAATGCTGGGATTGAGCCTGGGGCCCTGAACATGAAAGCAGAGGAATATTATTTTAAGATGTGTTACATTTGCTTATACCGCGGAATATTACTTAATGATGCAAAAATGTGCTGCATTCTTTCTTGTTGCATTTGTTTAACTTAGTGAAGCTGTGTTACCTTGCCTGTCTAAAACACCTGACGGTCTAATAAAGCGCTGAACGGCCAATAGCTGGGCAGGAGAAAGGATGGGTGGAGCTGGCAGGCAGAAAGAATAAAACAGAGGAGAAATCTGGAAGGAGAGGACGAAGGAGCGAGGAAAGAAGAGGCCAGGCACCCAGTCACACGGCCAGACACGGAATAAGAAGGAAAGAAAGGTAAATGCCCAGAGGCAAAAGGTAGATGGGATTAGTGAAGAAAAACTGGCAAGAAACAACCCATGCTAAGGCCTGGCATTTATAAATAATAATAGGTCTCCATGTGTATTTATTTGAGAGCTGGTGGCGCACCCCCCTCCCCCCACCAAAGAGCCAAAAGAGGAAAAAAAAAAAAAAAAAACAGCGCAGATTCTACCCCGGGCTATTCTCCCAATCCCTGCATCTAGACCTTTTAATGCAGGCTGAAACAGAGTCATCTCAGAGCCCGAGGCAGGGGGACGGCCCTTACCTTACACTGGTGACAGCAGGACCCGTGGGCACACTCGGCCCCTTCCTTCAGAGTGCAGTTGGAGGCATTGCAGCAAGGGTTTTTACATTCCTGGGGAGGTAACAACGGATAGCTTTTGGCCTCTGCAGCAACAGGGCAAGAGTCTGAGTCCAGCAGGGGGCGCCCTTGCCACCTCCAGCCCCAGCCGGACTGCCCTGCCCTGTTTTCTGCTCCTTAGAACATCACTTGGCAGGGCTTCATGAAAGTAATGAGCATTTGCCAGAGAGGAGACACAGGTGCACCCTCCATAGAGAAACCACAGCTTAGATGGGACTGTGTGGTAGATGGGACTATTCTGGGTACGTATTATATCCTCTAATTATGAGGTCACACTGAGCCCGCAAAATCCTCCCATCAGCACCATTCCTAACAGAGCTCCCTCTGAAGGACCAGGGCAGATCCTTGCTTTTAGTCCATGTTTCCCAGTCTTACACTAGCCCCTTCACTCTGAACGTTACAGGGTTATGTTTTAAAAACAAGGCCAGAAGATGGCCCAGTGGGTGAAGACACTCACCACCACGCCTGGCAGCCTGAGTTTGATCCCTGGACTACACATGGTGAAAGGAGAAAGGAAAGCAACTCTCTGATTCATTCTCTGACCTACATACGTATGCACACGCATGCGCGTGCGCACACACAAAATAAATGCATGTAGAAAAACCAAAAGAACCTCTCGACATAGAGATCATACTGACAACTCAAGTATCACAGCCACACCACCTACTGTTCGCCAGCTGTCAAGCAAGGGTTAACATTTTCTCATCCTTCAAAAAACGGAGGTGAAACAATCTAGTTCTGCTTTTTTTTTTTTTTTTCCCCAGAGAAACATGTTTCTGATAAAAATGACAGAGCTGGGGGTGTGCGCTCCACACTCATTCCGAAGGAGGAAAGACCCATCCATGAGTTCTGCTTCTCCTTCCTCGGCTCCCTTGTCCCTGCTTCTCTTCTCCAGGCTAAACTGTGACCGTGCGAGCTTGGCATCTTTAGGCTTCTCACTGAGCTCATCTTGTGTGAGCTTCACGTGCTCCTCCGGCTGTGTAAATTCAGGCCTCCAGAGTAAACTCAGGGCAGCTGGAGGGCCAAGGACACCACCTGGGGCTCCTCTGGGGAGGTCTGTGGCTTGAGCCGTTGCCCACAGCGGCAGAGGCCAGAGAGACCATCCACCTGGAAACTGCCTACATCTTACACGCAAACGGTCTGTGGTCGCCGTGTGTAGGAAATGCTGGCAACTAGGAAGTGATCTGGCACACTGTCCTTCGGATGGCCTGAAGCTCTGACAACAGTGCAGGGTCTCCCCTCTCTCTAGCCAGGCCCCCACGCTCACCTCCTCCTCCCCACAGTCGCACTCCTCGCCGTCCTCCAGGTACCCGTTGCCACACCGCCGGCCTCCGTACAGCGTCCTAGTGTCTGGCATGTTCGAGAGACACATCCCGCCGCCTGACTGCAGGTACCTGTCCAGCTCCCTCCTGTTGCACCAGCTGAAGACTTTGGGGAAAGGGTGCCTGTCAGAGAACAAGGGGGGCATGAGCTCGCCATTCTGCCGCCCAGGAAGCTAACTCCACCTAAATAAAAGCCCTGCCCATGCCTTCTGCCCCAGGACACTCGTCAATTCATGAACTTAGAGCCCTTTTATCCTGAATCACGAAATGATAAGCATGCCATGTGGTTACATTTTTCTTATTACAAATGAAAAATGGAAGCTAAGAAACAGAACAGCAATATCCGTCCTTCCCACGATGGAACTACAGTAAGCAAAGGACAATAAGTGCATTAAGACAGGTTTCCATACTGAGAGCTGAACAGAACACCAGCCAGCTCAATGCCAGGTGGGTATCCATTTTCTCACGACAAAAAAACAGAACCAGAAAGCCCGAGATCACGGGTCTCATTTACTCATGGGCTAAAGGGCTGATCTCTGTTCTCCAGATAAGCAAGTCCCATTGGCCAATACATATATGTGAGCTCTCCATCACCAGAGTGCGTACAAAAGCTCCCAAGTCACCTGCTGCTATGGAAACAAACCTAAAGTGCAGCAGGTCCCTTACCTGCAGCTTTGCTGGCCATGGTTTTGGTTACCCATAGTCAACAGTGACCAGAAAATATTAAACAGAAACTTCTGGAAATGAACAAGTCCTAAGTGTGAAGTAACTTCTATTATCGTCACTGTTTTAAATGGTCTAATTTGAGTTCATGGTTTTAACCTCTTACCAAGTGCCTGCTTTATAAATTAAAATCATCGTAGGCATGGGTAGGAAAATCACACAACTGCACATACAGAACACGATATAAATATGGAGAAACTGCTATGTCACCACATGGGTCTCTGGACAGAGACCCCAGTAAAGCTGCCCTTAATTCTCACCAACTAAAGGTTAACACTGAAGGCTTCCTCCAGTACGACAGTATGCCCATAATTAACCTACAATGTGTGAATAACCTAAAAACACACGAGAGTCGTAATGAATACAACTGTCAGCCATTTGTCTACTGCTGCAGTTCTGTAGGTTGTGACCCCTTTGGGGTCAGACATCAGATAGCCTGCATATCAGATATTTACATTATGATTCATAACAGCAGCAACATTACAATTATAAAGTAGCAATAAAAGAATTGTATGTTTGGGGGTTGCCACAACATGAGGAACTGTATTAAAGGGTCGCAATGTTAGGAAGGTTGGGAGCCACTGCTCTATTGGGATTGGCGAAGAAAGGGGTGGACTTCACGATGAACTCAAAGGAATTTGAATATGCCCGTGGAATTGTAACCCACACATCCCCATCATCCTTTCAGGGTCACAGCAGCCAAGAAGTGAGGAGTAAACACTAATGCTGCAAATAAGAAAGCTGCATTGAACCACCTTTCTCTAGAAAGTATAAGCAGACCCCAGTGGTTTGGAATGCAGGAAGAGAAAAGAATTCTACCGCAATGCCTTCTGGGGAATGGCCTGAGTTCTGAAGAACGCCATGGCGTATGCTGAGGACAGACATGAGAAGAAGCTATGGTTTAGAAAATCTGCTGCAGACTCAGTGGCCTTGCTCATATTCTTCACGGGTTCCCTGAGGAATGGGTGGCTGCCCCCTTCTCCTCTTGTTCTGTACAATACAGAGTTCCCAAAGAGGCCTGGGATCCAGCAACACTGATCACGATGGCATGGAAGGACCAAGCTTTGTGGGGTCTCATGAAGCTTCCTATGGTGGTTTGAAAGAAAATGGCCCCCAAAGGAGAGTCACCATTAGGAGGTATGGCCTTGTTGGAGGAAGTGTGTCACTGTGGGGGTGGGCTTTGAGGTCTCTTTTGCTCAAGCTTCCCTTAGTGTAACTGTCAGTCCACTTCCTGTTGCCTGCAAGTTGTAGGACTCTCGGCTCCATGATCTACCTGCAAACCACCATGCTTCCTATCATAAAGATACTGGACTGAGCCTCTGAAACTATAATTGAGCCAACCCCAATCAAATGGTTTCTTTATAAGAGTTGCCATGGTCATGGTGTCTCTTCACAGCAATGAAAACCGTAACTAAGACACTTCCTGAAGAACTGGGCATACGGGTGTGGTAGCACATACTTAAAGCCCCAGACACTGGATGACTGGGGTGGGCAGAGTGCTTACATTCACAAGTTGAAGATCAGATTGGGCATGATACTCTCTCATGTGCACTCAAAAAAAAAAAAAAAAAGGTGTGTTGAGGCCAATTTTATTCCAGAAAACTGAAAACTACAACAAACTAACTCAATCTAGTGATTAACCAGCACCAACCTGCTTAGAGGAACTTAGTGTCCCACAACACATTTGCCTACTTCATCTAAATGTCTTCATCAACAGTTTAAAATTTTCACTGGGGCCATCTAGGAGGACTACTTGGGTCACACTGACCTGGTATCTCTCACCTCACTCTTCCCCCGCCAACTTCACCCTTCTGGTTGACTCACCCAGTGGCAGCTGCCATGATGCACCCGCCATCGGCTGCGCTGGCAGAACAGCAATGTGCAGAATCATGGCTCATGCCAAAGTTGTGGCCAATCTCATGGGCCACCGTGGAAGCCACGCCAATGGCATTCTCCGAGTGGTCCTGTTCAGAAAAGATTTCAATTCAAGGTCAGGGTTTTATTCCTGCTCTGCCTACCCTGTCCCCATTTGGTTTCATTTTGAGACAGGGTTTCTCTGTGTAGATCTGAATGTCCTGGCACTCACTCTGTAGACCAGGCTGACCTCGAACTTAGAGATAGATCATCCTGCCTCTGCCTCCAAAGTGCTGGGATTAAAGGTGTGTACCACTGCCTGGCTTGCACGCCTTTTCGTTACCCGAGCCTGATAGCTCTTCACTGATTGCCCTAATGTTGAGCACAGTGGCTCAGGAAATCACATGCTCAAAAGACTGTGTTTCCTGTGCTCTTTTATGCTGCAGACTGTGAATGCCCTGTTGATGCAGCCCTGGAACAGCACCCTGAGTTGAGCAGTAGCGACACCTGGTTCACTATTCTCTGAGAGCACCCCATGCACCACAACCTGGCACAGTGTGAGACCTTCACCATCAAAACAAAACAACTTAAAAGAAAAACATAAAGAACAGAGCTACGGCATAACATAAGTAGAGCTATTGTACTGATGCAAACCTATAGAGAGACTGAGGCAGGAGGACCATTTGAGCCCAGGCTGTCTGGGCCCACTTCAAAAAACCAACCAGGAGAACAAAAGCAGCAAAAAGGTAAGGTGGTGCAGGCCTTTCGTCCCAGCACCTAGAGTTGGAATCAGGAAGAACTGAACTTCAAGGTCACCTTCAGCTAGATAGCAAGACTGAGAGGCCAGCCTGGTCTGCCCAGTGACTTTCAGGCCAGCCACAGCTATATAGCCAAACAAGCAAAACAAAACCCCTACTCTCGCTGAGTCAGAATTTCAAAAGACAGAAATTTCCTAATTGTGACTCTTGAGACAGGTGTTCATTTCACAACGCAAATACCCGAGGACACGAGACCCGAACTAGAAATACTTCCACCTCTGTCCTCTTCCCCGGGTCCCCACTCTCACTCCTCCAGTCCCTGGTGTGGAATAGTACACGAGAGATCTAGAGGTCTGTCTGTTTATACAATTGCTTAAAAACCAATATAATCTAGGATGAATGAAAATTTAGCATCCTTGGGACCTGATAAGTTCATTGGAAACATTTGCTCTTTTTAATGCGCTTCAAGTTGGTTTTTCAAAGCAGGCCTCCTGTCTTGAGAGTCACTGTCGCCGTGTGCAGTACCAGTGTATGGTCTGAGACTCACCATGCTGACACCTCCAGACTGGTACACGGAGCACATGGCCATGAGTGGGGCCAGGCCAATGGTAGTACCTTGAAAGGACCTGCCCCTGCAGGAAGGAAAAAGATAGAGATTTCAGGTGAGCGCTGAGAGAGTTGTTCCCCTGGGACAGGCTGCCCCGCTGTGCACTGACCCCATTGACATTCCCAGATTATTCCCAAAGGGGTGAGTCTGGTAACCAGCCAACTGGACAACTTTTAGGGTACCACACCTCTTATTTCCTCTCAGTCGCTCCCTCAGTAGCACAGAGGAAAGGTCACTTTGCCCTCACAATGTGCCCAAAGACTCCGAAAGGAAGAAGGCAGGGCCTGACCAGCTGTGCCCCATTCTTGATTCACAAAGAGGGGTCAGAGGCAGGAGTACAGGGGAAGGGTGGGGCACAGACTGTGGTGCCCCAGTGAATCACATTCACGTCCACCGGTGACCAGGGGCCCAGGACACCGGTGGCATGCATCATAGGGGCAAAAGCTGGGAAGTTGGGAAGCAGCTGTGGAGTTGATGTTTCAGTCCTCAAATCACACACAGGCCAAAGAAACAGCTGCGTCTCTCTGGGAGCCTCACAAACCACAGCTGGGGGAGGCCTGAGCTGCTTCCGCCTCTGCTCTTCAGTGACGGTCCTAACATCAGCAGCCAGCTTCGCCCCCCACCCCCAGTTTAACATATCCCTCTCTCTGTGGCACCCAAGCAGAGCAGGCAAGGAGGAATAAATGGATGTCTGATGAACGCCTGCTTCCTAGACTCACTAGATAATGAATGAAGGCCCACTAGTCATTTTACAAACTAACACTCGGTTCTGGAGAAGCCTACTGTAAACAGATTCAAGGTGTTCTAGAGTTCAGGCCAAATGTCTCCGTAAACAAGGACTCGCTCAGTGAGTGGATGGTCCTCAAGTGACCACTCAGGTTTTAGGGACAAGTAAATATTGGCAATCCCAGTTGCTATGAGAGGGTAAATTAAGGTATCAGGGTTGGAATGACTGTTGACTCGGCTGTGTTCAAGGGAAGGAGCAAAGGCTCATTATCTATGGGCGTTTTGGTACGGCCACCTCAAATTGCCCTGGAAGGCCAACATTGGTATATACCGACCCCCCTTGAGGGGCTGTATTCTGTTCTCTCGGAGGCAGTTGAAAACTCAACACAGCCCTTGGCCAGAGCTTCCTCCCACCAAGCCTTCCCATGAGGGTCCTACAGTCTGCCACTTGGCCCTCCCCAGGCACTCAGCCCTGAGACGTTTGGAGAAGCATGAGAAGGAGCTGGGGGCCTGCACCCTGAGGTGGTGGTGGTAGGGGCAGCTGATTCGCTAGAAGAACGTTTGTGGCAGGCTGTCAGCTGTGACCAGGAGTCATCCACGGCCCTAGTAGACAGTCACGTGCCTCAGCTGATTATGGGTGAAGCTCATTTTCTCACACGGGTGGGAAACACGTCAGAGGGCTGTTATCATTCTTAGACTTTTTTAACATTTTCGCAAGGCGTGCTGGGTCTGAAAAATGCCTGGTTAATTAGCCAGGGAGCAAGGGAGCTCTTGCACAACTGATTCTCCCCCTGGGGAAAGACTGGGTGAACTTCGTACCCCATGGCCGGCAGAATACCCCTTCTGCAGCCAAAGCTGATGCACCACTACCAGAAAAGGCCTACTCACGTGATGAGCTGCGCATTGTCGTGGCTCTTCTGGGCAAGCAGCTTGCGCCTCCAGCTAAGAAAGGACCAGAGGGTAGAGTACGGGTTCTCGGAAACTTCACACTTATCCCCGTGCGTCCACACCTCCAAGCCCACGAGAGCAATCCGGATGTTCAGGGATCGGTAAAACTGCCAAGACACAGAAGGGCCAGGTCCTCTCACTGCCCAGACTAGGAGCTCAGAGCACAGCCACTAGGGTCACTGTCCTGCCCCTGGGGTCAGTCTCCTGCCACTGGCTCCAGGAAGAAGCAAGTAAGATCTTCAGAGAGATGCATTCTGGTGCCCAAACTGGAGTATCTTGCCTTAGAAAACACTGAGGTAAGAAGAGAAAGGAGGGGGAAAAACCCCCACCCATCAAGGGGTTCTTTAATGATCTGACCTTGATGCTACTGAGTCAGTGACCGTGTATGTTGTATGTACATGTGTCCTGTGTGTGCGCATGTACACGTGGAGCCCAAAGGTCGGTGCTGGGCCTTCTGCCATTACTCTCCCCACTTCACTGAGACAGGGTCTCTCACTAAACAAGGAGCTCATTGATTCAGTCTGGCTGGCTTGTGAGGTCCAGGGAGGGACCTGTCTCTGTCCCCTAACTCCCCCACCAGCTACGGTTACAGGCACAATGCCACTGTGGGTGCTGGGACAGGAGCTCCTTATGCCTGCCTAGCAGGCACTTTATATACCACGCCAAAAACAACAGGAAAAAAAAAACCTCTCGTGTATACAGAGGCCACAAGAGGACAGATTACATCAATCAAAAGGGGGGGTGTCCTCAGCTAAAAATAATAACTGGGGCACCACTGTGTATCAGGTACTTTTCATGAGCAAGGCAAGGACTCGGGCATAGAGAAGTTAAGAAATTCGCCCAGCATCTCAGCAGGAAGACTCTGAAGCCAGGATGAACTGAGATTATACCCTCAGGGCCCTTGTGACCATTTGCTGCTGGAGAGCTGGGATCATACAGCACATGATCTATATACTATATATACTATAATATACCTATACATACACACACATACATCTCGATCCTTCACTTGTCCCTAAGGGACTGCAGCCGAGATGGGCTCCTGATTGCATCTTGTGCCACATCAATCCTTATAGAAAGCCCAAAGCATCTGGATTGGCTTCACTAAGGAGTGTTTTAGGGAAGTGAACTTGGCTTTGCTTACAGTTCAGGGAAAAGGCTGTGGATTGGGCTCCTGATTCAGCACATGGGTATCTCCCTTCCAGTTTTAGTGCCACGGTGTTCAAGCCCAGGAGCTGGCTCAGCAAGTTGCAGAGGCGCTCGCTCATGTGCCTCACCCTCCTGGGAGCGATTAACTTTGTGTGCTGGGAGGGAAGTTAGAGGCATCTACGCATGGACCATCCAGCAAGGCGCAGGGCTTCCTCCAGCACCTGCGGGGGGGTCTGCAGCTACCTTCTGTCCTACATCTTTCACTTTGGTTGCTGCTGTTTTGGATTTGTTTGTTTGATGTGTTTACCAACATACCACTTCCATTTTCCATCAGTGCCTAGAGGTAGGTTCTCACCACCCAGTACAGGAGGAAAATTCCTAAAGCCAGCCAGCCAAGCCCTCCAGTTCCCTGGCCTCCAGGACAATGGCTGATACACAGGTGGCAGAATGACCAGCTTCCTGTAGCCTCCCCTCCACCTCCCGGGGAAAACACACTTTCCCAGATGTTAATCTGGATGTATGATCATTGAGATGCCATTGCTGCTGAGGTAGGAGCTGGATCTAGGCCCCTACTATGCCCCTAGAATCTTTCCCTCTAGGAAAGGCCAGTGTTTGACTTGCACCTGTTACATGCCAGCGGCCTGTTTCCACAGCTGATGAGGACGAGGGGGTGGGGGTGGGGGGAGTACAAGGCTGAGAACTTCCCGTTTAATGACTTCACAGTGACCACATTTGCATTTTTCAGCCCTGAATGTTTAAAACTTTTATGGGTCAACAGCTGAGCCATCTCTCCAGGCCAGCAGCTGGGACCCAGAACTTCTAGCAGGCCAAGAGTTTTAAGCCTTCAAGTTCTACAGTGTCCTGAAATGGTTATCAGAGCCTCAGAGAGACCTGTGACCCAAGGGCTGAGACTGTAGGTCAGTGACAGAGCACTTGCCTTGGATGCATGAAGCCCTGGGTTCAATTATCAATACCGCCCCTTCTCCAGCCCTCGAAAGGAGGCACGTAACCAAAGCGCACATCGAGGTCTACTTTCTAAAGTCCACACTGTTGGACTGTGAAGAGGAGCTCTCATGGCCATGTTCCCTTCTCTGTGATTTTGGGATGGAATTTGCTTTTACATAAAATACTTCCAGGTCTGAGATTGTCCTGTTTAGTGCAGCTCAAACCTCTGCTAATTTCCTAAGTGCATGTTTTCAACGATCCTGACCATAGAAACAGCCATTTGTAGTCTTCCTAGAAAAGGGGATCCTCAGACCGTTTTACATATCGATCCTAGACAAATGGCACCCTGACTTTTAAAGGTTCTATGTACCTTCTGGGCCAGACCCACTTCAACCCCTCCTAAGTCAAAGGAATGCTGGGCTTTCACCTAGAAGGAACTCTTACACACATCCTCAAAGCCTTCCTAAATTAGGCTCTTCCTCGCCCGAAGTTCCTCAAGAGCCACTTGAAATGTGAGGAAGGTCAGAGGGACAGGGCTGAGGGTCTGGCTGCTGTTTACTGCTGTCTACTTCCATCTGACCTCTCCATGGGCAGGGGCATAAGATCTCATTCTTACAGATTCCATCAGAAAACCATAAAAATAACTGAAAGCCACTGAGTGAAGCCAATGCTTGTACTTTATAAGTTAAAACAAAGCAAAACAAACACCCATACAAACTGACAAAATCCAAACACTCAACCCAAAGAAGTTGCTTTCCAGTCAGGGTTCTGCAGTGCTCCCCTCCCCTGCAGCTGTGGCACCGAGCACCCCTTCATGGACCTGCTGGGGGTGCCCAATTCAGCAACGAGGTATGACCTCCTGTCCTGCAGACCGTCTCAGGTGCCACTACCTCCCCCAGAAAGCACTCCTGGTCTCACCTTATCAACATAGTTGGCGATCTCCATGAGCTTGTGTTTGGTGGCATCCTGGTCACGCCGATTCTTCTGAAACTAATCAGGACAAACAGAACCAGGTGAGACCCTCCCACGGCTCTCATCCAAGAACCGTTCTGGGACCCGTATGTGCTCTTACCCTCCTGTCTTTGGCGTGCAAGCATTTTTAGGCAATGGTGCTTCCCACAGTTCACCAAGGATAGAACCTGACAGAGATCCCGCTTGGCACCTCCATCACCAAGCTCAAGACAGCACATGGGGTGGACCCAGTTATCGTCCTGCAGCCCTTCAAGTAAGTCCTGTTTTCCTGTGCTATAAGTTACAAGGCCTCTGGCTAACTGCTTAGTCAGAAGAGGGACGGACGGATCTCTCAGTTTGTTCATCACCCCACTAGGAAGCCACCCTCCTACATCTTACAGAGCTTTCCTGCATGTGATCAGTTAACCCTGATCTAATGGTTGCTGAATGACTATGGATATGCTGTTGTGCTTAGCACAAAGCGGGAATACAAATGCTACATGGTGACCCCAAGACTACAGGAGCTTCCACTACAATGGGGGAGAAAGCCAGAAATAAGCACAATGACAGATCCTCGAGGTACGCGATTGAAAAGAGGTAAGAAACACACTGAGAACTTGCACAGAATAACTGCGGAGGAGGGCCATGACAATGTCGCACAGAGGGTGCCGCCAACGGGACCACGTGGCATCAGCAGGCAGGTGCTGGCTTACATGCCATTCCAACTGGCATGCCTTCTGTAATGTCTGTGAAGTCAGACATTGATAATCAAGCACAGGAGAGAAGATGGTGCTGTACTCGATTAGAATGTCTGCCTTGAGTCCCAAGAGGGGGTCTCCTATTTACCACTTCTGTCTGAAAAGAACAGGCCTCTTTTGCCTTCAATAATGAAGTAAGGAAATCGTTAGATAAGATTTCTGACGATTGTAAAGATAAAAAATTGAAAATTGTAAACTCCCGGCACCCCAAATGATGGACGTCCCTGTCTACTGCTGTTCTTACACAGGGTCTGGATACCCAGTGATTCACTGTAGGTAGCCACTGTGTATGCTCAGCCTCAGGCTCCCCCATGTTTCCTCCCTCCTGCTCCACATGAATACCCAAAGAAGAAAAAGAACAAACCACTAAATAAAATAAAACCCCCAAGTGTTTGTTGGGCAAGGGCTGTGTCCCAGCCCTCATACAAAGAAAGGCACCACTTGCTTTTCTCTTGTAGATTCTAGGTTATTCCTTGACTTCCTTGGGACTGTCACTCACCAGAAGAGAACCCCACCGCTATCCTTACCTCCTACAGAGTTAAATTCTAGGACCCTATTGCACAGACCTTTGCGGAATGTTTAATCTAGAAGTTTCCATTAGGAAGACTTCCCGGCTGCTAAACTGGCCCTGTGGCAGAGTATTTCCATTCATTTAGTAAATATTTATTAGAACACAGCAATGAGATTTCAGGCCTCAAGATAATTTAATCCTGTCCTCAAACAGTAAGGCCCAATAAGGCAACCATAGCTAAGGCAGTGTATCATGTTTCCCAGAAGATTCTGGAGCAGGGTTTGGTAAGCTTACTCTGTAAAGCAACACAGAGTAAACATTTTTCATTCAGCATGGCAGACCACCTGGTTGGGGACCATAACTACCCGGTTCCGCTTGGTGGACCACAACTACCCAGTTCCGCTTGGCGGACCACAACCACCCAGTTCTGCCTTGGGGGCTTAGAAACTTCCAGGCTACCATAAACCAAAGGTTGTGGCTCGCCTCCAGTATACTGCTCATAGAAGCATGTGGTAGGTTCACATGGCCATGGCTAGAGTTTACAACCCCTGGTCATGAGAAAAATGTGTCTAGGTGTTAGACTTTATGGGACGGTATGTGAGCTTTCCCACATGCCTTGCATCCTTCTGGTACCACCAAGTCTCTTAAAGGTCTCTGTCTACAGCCCTTCTTTCCCCTTCTCTGATATGAACCAGACTCTTTGCTCTTACATTCTATTTCACCTGATGAATGAGCAAATGCCCAGAACCACCCAAAGAGCCCTCTTACACTCGCACACCTATGGAATGGATACGGTCAGAAGCTTCCACCTAGAACTAGGCAGAGAGCCGCTACTGGCTCACTTTTACTGCGGACAGCTCTCTAGACACGAATACCACAGCCTCAATTCTCGGCACTTGCTATCTCACCCAGAGACCCCCGTTCACTGCCGTGAGTTCAGAGCCCAGAGGAGAAGGCTGCTGTGTCTAAATCACAAATACGGCATCCTTCCCATCATTTATCCTCCCACAGTCTCAGATTAACTACCAGGAATACATGTCTGCCTGCCAATTCTGGGGCTCGCAAATCTTGCCTGGCCTATTGCACCCCAACACGAATCATTCAAAGCCTAAGGCTGAGAGCTGTTCATGACCCCGAGAACTGAGAAAGCCCCTCGCCTACCAGGAAGTTAAGAGTGACAGCCCTTAGCAAAGCGGGTACAGATGCCTATGCTGCTGATGCTTAAGGTGCACCCTTCTACAACATGAGATTCTCTGGACGGCCCCATGGTCATGAAGGCACCTTCTAGCAGACACGTTTCCTCCCTGGCTTGCTGTGAGTCTGGACATCAGGAAGCTGAAGGCTCACCATCCTCACCTTCTGTGACTGCTGGAGATTCACATGCAGTGGTTTTTAAAACCCTGCACCAAGGACCCACTGGGCAAAAGGGGTAACCCTCCTCCTTTTAACTGGGACAATGGGGTTCCTAGGTGCAGAGGACCTTTATCTGATCAAAGGTTCTTGCATCTTGGGAAAAAATGGTCAAAGACCTCTGTTTCAGATGGCACTGGATGCAAGGCTTAACTAGAGAACCATCCTGGGGGAAGGTGCATCGCTTTCTCCCGGCAACTTTCAGGGTACAGAGTGGTAAAGATGATGGTGTGGGACAGGGCTGAGTGGGGGGCCTTCGTCACTGCATTCCCATTCACCGGGCACTCTGAGAAAAAACAAAAACTTGGGGACCCACCCACCTATAGCTGCTGGAGGAAAAACAAAATAATGCCAACATCAGTTCAAAGGCTAAACTCTTCTGAAAGTGACCACAATGGTCCCTCCCTTGAAAGCCCTTTACCTCTGCCCAGTAAGCTCCTCCCTTTCTTTAAGGAGCTCAGGGGCCATCTCTTCCTACCTCTAAGCACTCAAAGGCAGCTCTCAGACTTGGGTTTGAATGCTCCCACCCAACCCCGGCACTTCCCCTGATCCACACTGTGGGGCTGTGGAAAAGGCAAAGTCACCTAGGTTGAGGCCTCTGGGAAAGCCGTAGTCCCAAGACAGGGGACCTGAGACAGAGTGATGAGCTCCGCCTTCATGGAAGACAGAAAGTTCTGGTTAAGTGTTCAGCCAGGTCACAGAAGTCTGCTTGGCTGTGGTTGTATCCCAGCATGATGTGGGACTTGAAGAAAAACTTGGTTAATGGAAATATGGGCCCCTATACCATATTATGTCGGCTGTTGGAAGGAAACAGGACTCCTCTGATTTCGGGATAATTCTCTTTATATCTGAGCTGTCACCATTAACATCGCCACCTCCCTCAAAGAGGCTCTCCCCAGTCCCCTGTGTGCATTCTAGGCATCGCCGAGGGACCATTTCAGCGGTTCTTGTGCTCTAGAACTACAAGGGTTTTGGGCTTCTGCTCTGAACTCCAGAATAAGGAGCTGGCTCAGGCTGTAACCTGATGCCAAGCACTGTGCCGGAACACCATAGTAGAATCAGGAAGTCACCCAAGAAAGTGAAACAAATAATGGAGCCAGGTGTGTGGGTGTCTGTGAAGCCTTAGGGCCTGTCCCATTTGAGGGATCTGAATTAAGGGGCTACCCTGCTCTATTAGGCTGGTGGCTCCCAAGATCACCTGCTATGCATTAAAACTACCCCCAAAGTCTTATTAAAACATGGATTGTGGGGTCCCACCCTGACAATCTGGGGTTGAAGGGATCTGGAGCAAGGCTCAGAGATTTGCATTTCTCACGGTTCCCAGGTGCCGCATACGCTGCGGCTCTGGGGACATTTGGGGAACACCAACATGAATATGAAAATAGATACATGTGAGAAAATGGCATCTGATAAGCCACAGGGGAACCTGCTACCTTTGTAAAACAGAGGTCTGCAAGATTCTCTGAAGAGCTACAGACTATCCTAAGAACAAATATCAGAACCCCCTCTAAGTCACGCCTTTAGTGTCCACACTAAGAGCTTTCCTCAGCTTCTGGTTATGGTTGATTTCTTTTCTCCTGACTGTTTAAAATGGCTAAAAGAGCCCTTGGCCAGATTTAAGGTCAAGTTTATACAATAAACTAGAAAAAGATGAACGCGTCCACCTCTCGGCAAAGCAGCCTCAAGAGAGGGTTTTTTTGGTTTTTTTTTTGTTTTTTTTTTTTTGCTGAAATCCACAACTGACCCCTTACCTCTGAGTAATCAGCCACCAGGTACAGTTCCACGTACTTCATGGACTGTAAGTCTTCCCGTTTCATCTAGGGAAGACACAGAAGCAGATCAGTGCCGTAGAAACGGTTGACTCCAGCTCATCCCCAAAAAATCTGCTGAGAAACCATGCTGGTTAATAAGCTGTGACCTTCTTTTAACTTTAGGGGTTAGGAACAGTCCTGGCTGCAGCCCACCACCTCCATCTGCAACTGGTTATTGCCAGAGGACTTTCTGAGCCATGGGATCTAATCTTATTTTCTCAAAAACCAAGAAGGCAAACTGGCTAGTACAGGCAAAATCGAGGCCAACAACCCACGAGGGAACGTGCCGGCAGCTTAGTTCCCAAACAACCTTGAGACCACAGGTCTCTGTTTTCACTGTGAACAAAAACCATTCTGTACAGCAGATGAAGTGGCCATTCCAAGAGCGGAAGTAGACATTTTTTTTAACCTTATACAGCTTCAGAAATCAGCATCTCAGAGCATTCTATACACAGTAGTTCTCTTATGTTGGCGTCTCACTAAACAATCCCAAGAAAGAAAGGGCGAGGGGCTTTTTCCTCTTTCTCACCAATCCTCCCACAATTTAGAAGTACTTCTGGGACCAACGTAAGGGTGCACAGAAGGGACAAGCTCAGATCAGTCTGCCAGTTCCAGCGAGGACCTAAAAACTCACTCTGCGAGGTTGCTTTTTGGTCTGCTGTGTAAACTGAAGGGCCCAGTCCTTGGAGGTGGGCTCGGAGTGCTGGAACCCACAGTTCCCCGGGGGCAGCTTGAGATGTTCAGATCTGTAAATACGGTGCTGGCTGTCATTGCCAGGGACAGGCTCGATGATGTAGCTGAGGTTACTTCTCACTATAACCAGTCCTCTGTGGATAAGAGAAGTGGAATCTCCAGTCAGTGCCTATGGTTCTGGAAAAGTCCGTTGCATAGGTTCATATGCTAGATGGTTCTTCACTTTATAATGGGCCATGAACCCTTCTGTGAAGGCCTGAGGCAAACGCAGACTCTCTAAAGAGAAACAGACTTGTGTGAAATGGGGCACGGAATCTCAGAGCACTTGGACCTCCCTGAACCATTACGGGGCTTTAGACTGGGACTCCTTAAAACCTCTAAATCTAGCATGACATATGACAACCATAGGTTAACACTTTAAAGACCCAGGAAAAGGCGATCAGAGAAAGCACAGAGGCCTGAGGCAGAGGTTACCGAGGTTCTAGATTTAGCTCTAAGGCTCAACAATCGCACACTCCCCAAGAAACATCTTGTGTCACCCTGAGCCTCCATTTCCTCAACGCTAAAATAAAAATGGTAACGTACTAACTCATCAGAGCTCTTGAGTGATTAAATAAAGACAAGTGTCCTTGTACCTGGAAGCCAAGTGGTACTTAAGGGTCAGCATTCCTACCCATCCCAACTGTCCCATGCTAACAAGGCAGCTATCGCTCACTGGTGAGGTAATCTCCTTAACTAAGAGCATGTGACAATCTTTCACCCAGGACGGAACTCAAGGATGTGTGCTGAGTTGTCTAATGTCTTCACTCACTGAGATTGCACGTGTTCTAATTATCATCTAAACCCACAGGATTCTTGCTGTTGGTATCCACAGGGTCCAGACTCTCAAGAAAACAAAACAAAACAAAAACAAATCACAGACATCCCAGACTGTATATAAAATACTATGTGATTAGTGCATAGCCTATTCATGTCTTCCTAAATATTTTGTAACCTCTAGATTCTTATAGTGCCAAATAAAATATAAATGCTGAGGCTGGAGAGATGGTTCAGCAATTGAGAGCACTTGCTTCTCTTTCGGATTGGTCTGAGTACCCACATCAGATAGTTCAGATTGCCTATTACTCCAGCTCCAGGGGACCTGATGCTCTCTCTTGGTTTCCACAGGCCTTGCACACACATGATGCACATGCATATACTCAGGCACACACACATATACATTAAACAAATAATTTTTTTTTGGTTTTTCGAGTCAGGGTTTCTCTGTAGCTTTGGGGCCTTGTCCTGGAACTAGCTCTTCTAGACCAGGCTGGCCTCAGACTCACAGAGATCTGCCTGTCTCTGCCTACCAAGTGTGCCACTGCCGCATGGGTGAACACTTTTAAAATGAAAAAAAAAAATCTGTTAAAGATGTCATATTGTCTGGCAAATAATGACAAGAAAAATATACATGTTCTCTACAGAGCTAGTTCCAGGACAGGCTCCAAAGCCACAGAGAAACCCTGTCACGAAAAACCAAAAAAAAAAAAAAAAAAAAAAAAAAAAAAAAAAAAAAAAAAAAAAAGAAAAAAAAAAGAAAAATGTACATGTTCAAGAAAACATTTTTTTCCAAGAATATCTGATGCACTGTTGGTTGAATCTCCAGAAGTGGAACACACGGGCAAAGAGGAACAATGGTGTTCATGGTTGTTGGAAAGACAGCCGTTCTCACTATGCATCTGGCACCGTGATAGTTGTTGAGGATGGCAACATGAGCCAGCCACGGTGCCTGCTCTGCTGAAGAACAGAGTGAGCGGGGAGTAGTCACTGTGACTCAGGGCCTGTCATCAGCCCTGGCAGACACCCATGGATGAGATGCAGCTGCTTCCAGGGCTGCCCTACTGAAGCCTCTGGAGCTGTCTACATTCGGAGAGCACTTACTGCCCGTGGCTTCACAGCAATCAATGGAGGCAGGGCGATGCCCAAGGGACAGCTCCGTTATCTCATCTGTTCAGATCTATGATGCTCCAACCTTCCACTGTGATGTGGGAATGAAATAAGAGCAATGGTCTGCGAATTATGTGTCACATGGCTAGTTATGTCTCAGTAAACCATGTCTAAGGGTGGACGGGGCCCAAATGCCTTCTCTGCCATCTTATCTCCTACGGAAAGGGTATCCTGCCACAGTCAGGCCAATCAGGCCGTGGCTAGTCACACTTCTGAAGAGTGTTCCTGGCATCATCAACCATGGTCAAGAGTAAATGTGTTATGGCCTTTGAACCTACTCTCCAAACCGCCACCCTCTATCCAGAGAGAGAAGCGAGACAGCCAAGTCATGGTTCTTGACTCTGGGATAGATGAACCAGGACTGAATCCACAGGGTGCTGGCAGCATGTCATTTAGGCTCCCATCCCTTAGAGCACTCCAAACCAAAGGCATCCTCAGCTCAGCTCTGGCACCTGAGTGGCAGGGCTTACCAATATCCACCCGCCTCTGTCCTCCTGGGATGCATGGATGCCCACCCAGGTTCCGTCCTTTAGTAAGAGCTCATGACTCTCTCAGGAAAGACATCACAGACTCTAGTGGGCAGTAGACCTTTCCTGACCTCATCCCTCGCTGACCTCATGGCAGTACCAGGAAGCCTGTCAACTTCCTGGCTGCCTTCTGGCTGACACAGCAGCAGTCACCTGGCCTATGGTGAGATACCTAAGGCGTTCCCTTAACAGAGAGGATGGAGGGCAAAGAGCGAGGGTCACAGCCACTTCCCCAACTCCACACAGGAAAGGGCAGAGACCAGGGCGACCTAGGCATCCTGTTTTCAGCTGTCTCCACATCCCAGCTGACCAGGGCCTCTCCCATCACTCCAGTTTCCTCTGAATGGCTACAATGTTGGCCATACAATGAGGTGGACCACAAACCAGCTGGTGCTCCTGTGTGCACCAATATTACACCCAGTGAGTGGAAAGTCACCCACAGGAATCTGTGAAAGCCTGAACAAAGGGCCACAAGGTATCACGTTGATTTGCTGTGATATGAACAAGCCCTTGGCCAAAGGGTCAGAGGTCAACAGGAACTTGGCAGCAGGTTGGGTAATAGTCATCATAGTGGCTATAACTTTTTGAGCTTCTCTATGGGCCAGGCACCAAGCTGATGAGCGTTTTATTTCTCATTCCAACTTATCTGACCCTTACAAATATTATTCCCATGGTACAAATGGAAAAACCTACATTCAAGATTAACTGACCCACTGAAATTCACATAAGTAGTAGAGTTAAAAAGAGGGTGAACCTCAGTATTCTGGTTCTACGCCCCACAACCTTCACCCCAACCTCTTACTGTCTTTCATAAGAGCCCTAGAGAATGGTTCAGAGAGACACACACGCCCCGTGTGCATATATGGCTATAGGTGATGGCACCAGCAATTCCCCTCTGATGTGAGGCCAGGCAAAAAAATGCAACTGGCTTTATCTGTGGAATCCCAATTCCTGGGAGAGGACAGGAAGCACTGGTCCCTGCTCCTCCTCAGACACTGTTTACTGTGCACTAACGAACCACATGCCCCACAGACTGACATGTTAATCTCTCTTCATTCCACACCACGTTATAAGGCTGGCAACATCATGGAGCACACTTTATCAATGAGGAGTCTGAGGCCCAGGAAATTAGAATCGGAAGCTTTCACCTGGGGCAAAGGACTTCATGGACACATTCTTTGTTCCTTTGGGCTCTGTACATCTGCCTCCACTGGCAAGCTCTCCACCTGCGCTCAGAGATCCCAGGACCAGAATTTCCAAACTATCCACTACTCTACAGAAGGTACCCAGGCTATCCCAGGAGACTCAGGCCCAAGTGTCTGTACTTAGTCCCACGGGCAAAGCTCTGAGACAAGCAGAAACTTCGGTCAGGAGTCCACGCTCTTGCCTGTGTTTTCATGGTGCTTGAGCAACTGCCTCAAGAAGTAGGAAGTCTGAGCATCTCAAGGTTGGGACAACCGCTGAGGTTATCCCTTCCAGCAACAGGATTCAGCAGCCCCTTCCCTATCCCACCCCACTACAGCCCTTGGAGACTGACCCCAGGAAGGAGCAGGGACCTTCATGCAGGATTACTAAGAGCTGGAAAGGTGGTGTCACGTGCCTGGCACTGTCCAGCAGACTCCAGCCTTGTTGATGGGGACTCTCTCCTGCCACCAAGCCACAAGTCACCTAGACGCCCCCCCACACACACACACAGTCACCCATCTTTTAACCTAAGAGCCTCAGCTGATTCAATTTGCTAAATGTTAGCTCTGGCAGAGGCAGAGATCAAAAGTGGGACCGAGAGCCCAAAAGGCAGAGGGCCAGGATGCTACTCTCTAACCTATTCCTCATCATTAAGAGAATGAGAAACAAAATAAATCATAAAATAAGATCATATAGAGGAACCCAGGCAGGCCAGCCAGTCAGGAAATAATAGGTTCAGGCTTAACCCACAAATCACTGCAGGACTTACTCAAATAAATCCTTCAAGACAGGAGAGAGGAGCCACTCCAGAAGCTGTCCATTAAACACTCTGTTGCACATCCACATCCGGTCATAGAGAGAGACCCTAAGAGGCAGCAGCCCTGCGGTCCTGCTCCCCACCACTCTCCCAACCTGCACCCTCATTAACAGGTCACAGGGAACTTCCAAGGCATCACAGGGAGAAGAGAGGCACCTGGTTCTGAGTTCCTGCTGGGATAGAGGCAGAGCGCAAGCAGCAGCGAAAACAGTCAGGAAGGAGACATCCTGGATTAGGATCCTGGCTCTGCTGTCTCTCCCAGAGCAGCTGTGTTAACAGTCTAAAGGAATCAGATGGAGCTCACTGACAACCAGGGACCATTCTCCAAGAAAGCTAGGAGTCCTGGAAGTACGTTGTGCAAATGAGATACAAAACATTTTGTTGGGAAGCTGTTCCGCTCGCAGTACCTGACGTGAGGCAGGACTGTTCTAGCCCCTGAGGACACAGCACAAGCCAACCAAAGATCTTGCTGTCAAGGAGATGGGGCTGATCACCTAACGTGAACCCACCAATGGCATCAATATCTCTGCTCTCATCTTACAGGGCAGAAAACTGAGACTTCAGGAGTATATCAGCATTAACTGGGGCTAGTGAAATGACTAAACGGGTAAGGGCTCTAGCTACAGAAACCTGGGCTAGATCCTTGGAAGCCATGATAAGATGGAAGGAGAGAAAAGACTTCATGAAGTTATCCTCTGACCTCAACATGAGCACCTCCCCGCACCACACACACACATACTTATCGTATACAATAATAATAAATAAAGTCATTTTTAAAGGACTGTGTTAGTTGGCAGGTATGTGTTCATGTGGGAAACATATGGAAGCAGAGGACAGACTTGGGAGTTGTTCCTCTCTGGTTGTCCATCTTGAATTCTTTTAAAGACTAAGTCTCACTATGGCCTGGTGCTCACCAATTAAGCTATGCTAGCTGACCAGCCATTTGCATCATCATACCTAGCTTTTTTTAAAAAAAAAAAAAAAAGTCGGTGCTGGGAATTGAACTCAGATCTTCGGACTTATGTGACAAGTACTTTACCAACTGAGCCGTCTCCCCAGCCCTAGTCACCAGTTTTTAGACTCAGAAGGGTCTGCCTCTGGAGACCTTGTCACAGTGTAAGGGTCCTGTCATCCAAGGGCTTATTCCAGGATGAGGCAGGTGATCATCATGCAGAGGAAAGTCATGGCTTTTGGGGGAGGACTTCTTCCTGCAGACTCTGCTGCTCCTCCTCAGAGTCCAGGGCTTCCCAAGATAAAGGGTACTTTTATGATCTAGTCTACTGAGTTTGAGAAGTGAAGAAATCCCAGGGTGGGTGGGGAAGTTGCTCAAGAGACACTGAGTGAGTTAACAGAAAGCCTGAGGCAGATTCTAGGTTTCTCATTTCCAGAGTCAATGACGGTTCTGGACTGAGAATCTCACCAACCCTGCTATCCACACCCTTCCCAAGCACTTAGCGAGCTATTAAGATAGAGTGAGGCCCAGAGGAAGGATCGGACCAGTCTGGCCAAGGTGAAGACAAGGGCAAAAGTAAGTGTGGAGGACAGAGCTGGTGGGGTGTCTCACCACCAGGAAGGGGAGTGGCAGAGCACACTCAGGGCCCTGGAATGGCAGTGCTGAACACATTCCAGTCCACGGCTTGCGCATTTGGACAAGTTATGCCCCACCCAACCTCAGAGTCTCTGCTTAGAGCACAGGATGGGAGTCCAGGAGCCGGTCAGCCTGGTAGGGTCCCGGATGTTGGATGAGAGAAACACTGTGACCATCAAGCTGACCCATCAAGCAGATCTAGGGGGATTATTTATTGTTTATCATTGAGAGGCTGTCTCTATAATTCAGCTCACCAGACTTTAATACATAAGTATTCACGGCCCCGTTAAAGTAATGGGACAGATTCCTATGCACCTGAGACTTAGTTCCGTGTCGGAAACATCACAAGACTGGACTGCGTGCTTGGGATGACCTCACTTGTACATAGTAGACAATGCAGGTCCATTATGTACACCCGAACAGTGACGTGAACAAGAATGGGTTTGGGCGGAAGGATGGAGAAGGCAGAACTTTAGTTTTTAGCTTCAGTCTTGTACAGTTTGGATGTTTAACCCTAAACATGTACTCATTACTTAATGACAATTTTCAGTGAGTATTGTCTGAAAAATTAAACAACAACAACAACAAAAAAAAAAAAAAAACCCACCTCCCCAACAATGGACGGGAAACATACAGGTTTAGTCAAAGAAATCACAGCCCCAGTACCAGCTAAACTTTCCCACAAGCGATCATCAGACCTTCCATTTAGTCTGTGGGTTCGATGTGGAGATGCATCTGCACAGGCAGGGTGTTGTGGCGACATTTACAAGACAGGATTTTAGTGTGAGGCAGGCTCGAAGGTATGGACACCTGACACCTTCAATGAAGCGGTGATCCCCAGCTGGGATGCTATGTGGAGATCTCTGGGGGGGCAAGTTCTTTGGACTACCATCTCTCCGACTAAGACTCTTCTACCTCACCATGGACTCCAGAGCCAGCAGAGAAGCGCTGAGCTCTCCGAAACCCTGAGCCAAATCTCCCGTTTAAACTGTTTACTTTAAACACTTAGTCATGAGCGGACTAACACAGATGGTTTGCTGCGTCTTTGATGAGATTCACAGTCACTGATTAACCCAATTCCCAAGGTGACTGGAATCCAAACAAAGTTATAAAACATTTTGTATTATATAGCCAGGTTCCTCTTGCCGAGAGTATTTCCAAAAGAATGCATAGGAAACTGGTGATTTGTGAGGTAAGTTATGAGATACAATTGGGAAAGAGGGGTGAGAAAGAGTGATGCCTCTTATTATATCCTCATATGGTCTTTAACATTTGTTTTTATTTTACTGTGATTGGGTATTTTTCTTTAATGATAAACTGACTTACAAAGTACTCAAGAGAGACGAGGCTCCAGTAACCATTGGGCAGTGGTTCTCAACTTGTGGGTCGCAACTCCTTTGGTCGAACAACCCTTTTACAGGAGTCCCATATCAGATATTCACATTCCGGTTCATAACAGTGACAAAATCACAGTTACGAAGTAGCAACAAAAATAATTGTATGGCTGGGGGTCACCACAGCATGAGGAGATGTATTAAAAGGTCACAGTGTGAGGAAAGTTATGAACCGCTGGTCTAGGCTGTACTGGCTCCTTTCATTTTCCGCCTGAAGAGCCTGCCTAGCATATATCCCATCCATTTTCTCCAGACACAGGAGTACACTACCAGGAGAGATGAATGGTTGCTATGGAAACTCCCCATGGCGATATCAGGCTTCTGGAGCCTTGGGAAGCTATTTGGATTTAAACACTGCTGTCATTCCTGCCTCTGCTCCAGGGACCCAGTGTGGCCGCCTTGCAAGTCTCTGGCTCATAATTTAACCTCGTTCTCTTAGCCTGTGGAAAGAGGAGAGGGCTGGGAAAGAAAGCCATGTAGACCCCACCAGATGGAAGCCTGCAAAACAGAACCACATGGGCAGCTCGGGGAGCTTCCCCATCAGCCCGACTGCTGGGATGACTTACAAGAGGCCAAGCCAAGAGCATTCCCACTGCTCCAGTCCCAGAAGGGACAAAGGAAGAGGCAGAGAGAAGCAGGTCACACCTGCTGGTTCCCTTTCCTCCTTCCTGGGACAGCCGTTGTTTACTTGAGGGCTGCAGGTGGCAGGGGCTGAGCCTATAAACACCACTGAAAAGCCAGTTGGCTTGGCTGGAGGAGGCCACTTGAGCGGAGGATATGAGACCACTGTTAATCACCTCACAGCCAAACCCGATTTCCTGCCTGATTCCCTCGGGCAACGCGCCACACAAATGTGAACCAACTCATAAACAGACATGAGACCTGCGGCCAGAAGGGCCCTCGGTTTATATCTGGGGGCAGGGAGAAGCTAAGTCCTGGAACACATCTTGTGAAGTTCTGCAAAATCAATGAAACACATAGTCGCCACCATACCAATCACTGGTGCCCTGAGGACACAAAATTATAACACCGCCATCTGCCAGTGTAGGACATGGCATAAATTAACAAATGACAGAAGCAGCCACTGATTCAAAGAAGGGGAAGAAAACACCTCCTAACAGCTCCAGAGAGCCACAAGTGAGCCCGCACATATTCCCAATTCTGCCTTTGGTAGTAACACTGAGTAGGCAGTTTATCAGTAGTGAGCGCCTTGCCCCCGGCATATAGTTGGCTACCGCCAACCAAGGATTTCTGGTATTCCTGGAGTTAGCACCCTGAGTTCAAGTTCCATGCAGTGCAGGCCATTTGTGTAGATAAGAGCCCAGATTTTTCAAACAAGCAAGAAAAGATATAGCATGGGGCTAAGGAGATAGCTCAGCAGTTGCAGAAGACCCAGGTTGCATTCCAAGCATCCCCATGGTGGCTCACAACCCTCTGTGGCTCTGCCTCCATGGGATGTGATGCCCTCTCCCACCTCCCACCAGACACGTGCTGCTCTTAGCTCAAACCCAGGTGGTTTGGTTTAGGGACAGAAGGGTCACCCTTTTTCTAAGCATTATCTAGTTGGAATTCTCCAGTTGATTTCTGTCTCAAAAATTTCCTCTCCTTCCTTGCTACATTTCTCTTCCCTGACGTCCCGATTCTGGCTACCCAACCTGAAAGTTCTTCTACCATGGAGTGAACAGATGGGAGGAATGAGGAACGTCAGCTTCAAGTCTACCAACATCTCGTTTGTTTTCTGTCACTCTTTGCTTTCACTTCTAGGATCTCACTGACCCTGGAGGAACTGTCCCCTCATGGTTACCTAACTCCTAGTGAGACATTTTCGCCAGCTACAGTGCCTTACAGTATAAGCCAACCAATAGCCCAGGGCCCAGCTACCATCTTGCCTTGGTTTCTCTCCCTCTGGGTCACAATCCACCTACCCGTGGGGTTGGGTACCAAATGACTTCATGTCCCAGAGCTACTGAAGTTACACAGAGCAGCCACTCCTCAGCCTGCTTGCCAAGCTCATCCACTCCTTCCCTGCACTAACCCACTCGCCCCCAGCTTTCTATCTCCAAACACCCCTGGGCTTTTCCATGCCTCCCCCCATGGATTAGCACGCCTCTTTCTACTGTGATTTACTGCCTGCCAGTTACACCCGATAGACAGCTCTTTATTGATGCTAAGCTTCCAGTCATGGTTGTCTCTTGACTCATTAGCCGTACCATCCATAAATAAGAGAACTCAGATCTTAGCACATCAAACTAGTCATGAAAGGGAAATCCAAACCCAGTGTCTGCATGACAGCTCACAAACTTGGCCCCTGTCAGAGTGTAGACACATGCCCAGGGGCCTCCTGTCCAAGGCCCTTGCTCTGGGTTAACCTTGCCCATCTTCCTGGGGAGTGTACCATTCATCCGCAGCAGCTTCGGGATCTCTTACCTAATTCCCCGGCAGGTGCTGAGCGTGACGCTGGATTCTTCTGCTTCCCTCACAGTCCCATGGTAAAAGCAGTGATCCTGGCAAACAGAAAGTGCTCACGTCAAATGGTGCTGATAAACAAGACCATGTTAACGTCTCATGAACGACAGGTGACAGCTTAATTCCTTACTAAGCCTGACCTTGCAGGATCTTATAACCTGAAAAAAGCTTCCAAGTGACCTCTGTTTGGTTCTTACAGGAGCCTAAGAGATAGCACAGGACAGACGTCTCCGTTCCTACTGAGTAGACGGAAATGCTGAGGCTCACAGGTTGGAGAACCCAGTTTCAGATCTGAAATGTCAGCCTCAGGGAAGTCCCATGACAGATCCAGTTTCTCACTGGTGTCGCCTTTGTAGCTCACTGTCGTCGGTTGGACAGTGTCCTCCTAAAATTCTTATGCCCACCCAGAAGCCCAGAATCTAACTTCATTTGTAAGTAGGGTTTTGATTATGTCATTAAATTAAAAAGTGGTCACAATCGATGAGAATAGGTCATAAATCTAATGGCCTCATCTACCTATCAGATGAAAGGACACAAAAGATATATAAGGGGAGAAACCACCTGAAGACAGAAGCAAAGACGAACGTGATGTAACACAGGACAAGGAGCACTATGGAGTTAGAGGAAGAAAGGGAGGACTCTTCCCTGGGGGCCTTACAGAGAGAGCACAACCCCTTCCAACAACTTGGTGTTGAACAGTTAGCCTGCAAAATGGAGAGAGAACCAAATTCTCTTGTTTTAACCTCCCCATTCACAGCACTTTGTTAGGGCAGCCTCAAGATCTGAGCACAGTTCAAGATGCTTCTTCTCCCCTGAATCCTCCACACCTGGACTCTCCTTCCTGAGACCCTAGCTCCATGACGCCTGACGCTATTCTCTCCATGACGCCTGACGCTATTCTCTTGTCATGGCGCCTGATGCTATTCTCTCGTCATGATGCCTCACAGGCGTCTGGTCCCCCAAAACCAGCTGGAGCTTTCCATCTTTATAAACACCGAGAACCGCCACATGCAGGCCCTGGGCAATGGCTTCAGAGATGCAGTGAGAAAATGGACACACAGCTCTAGTTCCTGGGGTTTATAGCCTTGTGGAAGCAAGTCATTAAGAACCTGTGGTGAATGAGAAATGTACCTCCTCTACCCCCACCACAGTTCAAGTATTTGAACACTTGGGGATGCTACTTGGGTAAGTAGTACAGCCTTGATGGAGGAGGTACATCACTGGAGGATGGGATTTGGGGTTTTATAGCCTCCCCCACCTCCAGTTTGCTCTCTCTGCTTCATGTTTGTGGCTGAAGATGTGATCTTTCAGCCTCCTGCCTGGCTGCCTGCTGCTATACAATTATGGACTAGCCTTCTGGAACCTTAAACCCAAATAAGCTCCTCCTTCTGTAAGTTGCTTCTAGCCATGGTGTTTTATCCCAGGAACAAAAAGCAAGTGATACAGATGTCTAACGCACACAGCTATGGATAAAAGTTTGTGGTAGCAGCAACCAGGAAAGAGCACTTCTACGAGTGCCTCGTGCCCATGTGCTATACCAGACTGTCCCCCTCCCAAACCAGGTGGTCAGCAGTAGGGGTCGGGACGGGTAAATCAGCCAGAACAGAGAGAGGTAAAACTGGGAATAAAGCCAGATTCTTAAAAGGGCTTCCCTAACACCCTGAGACTAAGCGGCAGTCACAAATTCCCAGGCTAGCCCTGCATAACAAACAACCCAAGGGCTTCATCTCCGGAATGTGCTGTTTGCAGTTGTTTCCTTGTGGGGGCATCCAGAAAGCAAACCCACCTATCTGAGTTCGCCCCCCCCCCCCACCTCTAGCCCTGAAAAGAGCTCCGTAATTAAACTGAAGCCGTTTGGCACAGCTAAACCAGCCATACATCCAGGCTCGCACATGGACCAGCGGTGGAAATGACTCCTCTGGCCTCCCACATCTTTAGCCTCCAACCTCAGGAGGGTCATGAGAGTCCACTATACAAAGGAGCTGGCTGGACTGCTCCCTAGCCTAAAGATAGACAGCAAACATTAGTAGCCAGGTTTTCATTAAATTCTTTCACTAAAGATAAAACATGGCCTCGGGGGACTTAAAAGGCCACCAAAAGGGCTGACCCACACCCACAACATTTACTGTTTCTATTCTACATCCTGTTCATCTGAGCCATACAGCTAAGTCAGGAAGCACAAGCCAAGCCCACAGTCCTCTTGGGCTCTTTCTCTGGATCACGGGTACCGTTTCATCCATTGTCAGGCAGCGCTGGTTACCTGCCCATTCCTACTGACACACAACCAGGAGGAGGGACAACAGCAGCTTCCTCTTGGCATCAGAGACTGCTGAACTTTAACCAAGTCAGATTCTGACCTTCATGTGAGCACAGAAGAAAACCACTGTGATGGGATTTCCTCAGCTTGTCATCCCCTAGCACCTAGGAAGGCAGGAGACATACACAGCCTGATCTCTAGCCAAGGGTCCCACTGCCATCAAAGGCCAACCTGTCACATGGCTTCCCTATCTGTCCCCTATCAGGGGAACTGAAGGCAAACTATCAACAATCAAGTACTAGACCTGGTCCTTAAAACTCAATAGTGAGGCCACAAACCCACTGTGTAGAACACTAACATTGAGAAGAACGGTCAGTTCTCCCTAGGAGAGGGAGCCAGGCCTTCGCAAGGAAAGCAGGGCTCATAGACAGTGGAATACTGAGAGTTAAACATTCAGAAATGAAGGCAGAATACTGTCTCTGCTGGTTCCTTCACAAGTAGCGAGAACTTTGATCCAGATGTGGCTAAGGAAGAATTGGACCTCTTCGGCGCTCTGACTGATGGCTGCAGTGTGCACATTCCCCCGTACTCTCTGCAACGGCATGTTCTACAACTGTCATGTGCTATCTATAATGTACAGAGGGCACAAACACATGTGACCAGGGTACCCGTCATTCACTCTTAGTAACTGCAAGTGCTAACAGCCAGCAGGCTCCTACCGCTTGATAACAGTTGCTTATCTGTACTTTAATTCTGATCCCAGCTTTATGAGGCAGATATTATTCCCAGGAGTTTAAGGGGGAAACTAAAGGTTAGTTTAAGGGATCCCAGCTTCCGGGCCAAGATCAGTAGATATGAAAACCTGAACCCCAACAACTTGGCCCCGAACCCAGTCCGCTACCATTCCCAACCTGCAGAATCAGCACCTGACTGGATTATCTTGCCAAAGCTGTTCTACCCTCTAGAAAGTGGACACGCTCTAGTCCGGGTCTTGCCCCTTTTAAGCATAGCCAAGTTACTTTTCCTCTTCTCAATCCCCTCAACTGTAAAACACGGAGTTAGAAATAATAGTTATAAATCCCCATAAAAATCGGTGACTCATCTCACCCTTCCAGAGCACTGAGTCAGTTACCAGCACAACTAATTTCTGCGATTGAAAATAACAAAAGTACTCAGTACGGTCCAAAGGGTTGATTAAGGCCACACAGCTAGTGAAAGCCAAGACCGCAGCCCTGGCTTCAGATCCCAACGCCTGTAAGTCTGGCTGTTGGAACACATCCCCAGACCTGTTCCCCCAGTAACCTGACCTAGATTAGGGCTGTATCCTACAGGGCTGGCTAATGAGTCTCGATAAGATTCCCAGAACGACTATTAAGTTTGAAGGCCCAGCACAGCCCTCAGCATTTAGGCCAAGAGCAGCTATGGATTCACTCCGGTCCCGTTTCTCCTTGGTTTCTCAGTTTCCAAATGAGAAGGCTGACTGGGAGCCCCCTGGGCCTGGGTGGGGACTTCACAAGAATCCAGCAGTGGTGGATGGAAGAAAACCATGATCTTGGCCCAAGGTTCAGTCAGGATCTGCTTCAGCCAGCAGGGCCTTCAGGAAGGAGGGGGAATCAAGGGACCCGGGGACATCCTCTCCCCCTGCTCCTCTCTGAAAGACCCTTAACACATCTCTGCTTGGTGCACAGCGTAGGAGCACAAAGAGCAAGTCAGAGCAGCCATGAAGTCATGGCATTCCGCAGCTCTTGGGGCTGAGGGGGCCACCCCAGGGGGCTTTCACAGCAGGAAGCATGAGCTCATGGCAAACTTGTGCCCTGAGACCCATTCTTGACTTTATGGCTGTGGAGGTGGGAGGGGCTGGACTCAGAGGAGGGAGTTTTTGTGAAATTGAAATGGCTGTGGGCTTTCTCCACATGGCGCTTACCCAGCCCTTTGCCCGTTCCTATTCCTGGAAGCAGAGAACAGAAGTCTGAAGAAGGGAAAAGCATGGGCCAAGGGGCTCTGCGGAGGTGTGGGTCACAGCTGGACAGCTTCCCTGAGAAGGCCCAGTCTGCCCGCTGCTGTCACTGGCCACACTCCCAACTTCTTTTCCCACCTAGGAGAGTCTTGGGAAGACGTCCCACTGACCTTCACATCCCCTTCAGCAACCCAGCTACTCTACTGTAGTAGCTTATGTGTACTTAGACAAGTCCAACCTTAAAGGGACCCATCCTTTCCCCATTCCAGGGAGTTGGATAAACTAAGCTAACCTGCTAGTAACTGCCAATTGCTATCTGGTTAGACATCCGCACACGGGCAGAGATATTTGAAGATGGAGTTGCATGAGAATCTGTTTCCATGGATACTGTTAGAGGGATCCCAAGCAGAGGAGCCTCTCCTGTTCTCCTCCATCCACGTCATACATCACGTCTCTTGCCTCAGAAACCCCAAACACAAAAGGTCAGTGTAGCGTGCGCTCTTCCCCTTCCCATCGCATCTCATGATCCCAGGCTCAGAAGCCTGGGTCTGGTCCAGGGCTTCTCCCCTGAGGCACCAACTGGGTGGACGAGATGGCGGGATAAATCTACCATGAGGCCCTGCTCTGTGTCCAGTAGGATGCTTCACAGAGTCCCTGGCTTCTGCCCGTGGGATGCTAACGACATCCAACCATCAGCAAGCATGTGCAAGTGTGCCTTGCAGGAGAAAAAAAGAATCGCTGCTTCTGCTTGAGATCCGCTGCTCTGGGCCTGTGAACTCTAAACAGAAATCGCCATGGGAAGAGCCAGCAAATCATGACACACAGAATGTACTATCTTAAACATCCACCAGTAGGGTATAAATTAAGTGAAATAAATTAAGATGCAAAACCATTTTCAAAATGATGACTCTTCGATCATATGCAAAACTTTCCCACTAAAAACAACTCTGAAGGGGAAATGTTCAGTATTAAGACTATTAGCTTCTGTTTGTGCTCTCGGTCTTAAGTCAGGGGACATAAGTCCTTCAGAGAAGGGCTTTCCATAACTTATTTCCTCCGCCCAGAAGAGCGGTACCCAAATACGGCAATTGCTGATGGCCACGTGTAACTCACCTCGGACTTCAAGGTGGTGGTTTGAGGGTTGCCATTTGCAGTGTAGCAGGTTTCTGTGTAGGCTGGAGCAAAAAGGTGTCTGGAAAAAAAAAAAAAAACAACAAAAACAGACATTTGCATCTTTATTGACAGATTCCATCTTCCTGGTGACGGGGCCAGTGACTTTAACTGAACCAGGAAAGGCGGCCCCAAACTAGAAGAAACTGGGTGGCCATTAAGGAACCAAGAAACAAAAAGAAAACCAGGAGGAAATTTATCATTGGTTTTATATTCAGAGATCATCACTCCAGCCCGATAGAATAGACAATACTGAACCAACCATCTTAATTAGTTTTCCTGGGTCCTGAGAAAATGGGCATGCAACCACATCCACAATATCCCTGGGTCAGGGGACCCTATTGTGATACTAACTTTCAGCATGGTGGCCTCACGTTTTCTTTAGGAGAATAACCTCTGCAAAATGCTTTTGATGGGGTTATCGATCAAGGGGGTCCACCTGGTCACAAGTCAATGGAGTGCCAGGTCTGAGCAGAAGATAGGAAGAGTCATTGTCCAAAAAGCTGCTGAGGCCGCTCTTTATCATCTCCTGAGACCTGCTCGTTCTGTTGGCCGCCATTCCAACAAATTCCCTTTTTCTTTTCCAAATGTGGATACTGTTTTTTCTCTCGCAACAGACCCTTTGAAGCTGCAGTTCAGGATCCCTAACCAAAGGAGATACAGAATAGGCTTCCTAGGATTTCTCTCAAAGTGAAATGAAAAATAAAAGAACCAAACAGATGTTTCAATTAACAGAACTGATCCCCAGAAAGTCAAGGTCAAAGAGCAAAGTGGTTTCTGATTTCTAATGAAGCAAAACACCACAAATTCAAGGATGACAGAAAGAAATGCATATTTATATACAAATGTGGAAAATCTACAAAAGTCACAGGGCATTTCAGAAATATATGTATTTCTTAATTCCATTTTAGTGAAAAACTAAATGTACCCCGAATGCATGTACTAAAAACAACCGGCAAGGCCAAGAGTCCTTCGTCAATGCTGACTATCTCGGGGGAGAGCGGATTTCCCAAGACAAGTTACATATTGCTGCAATTAAAAAGAATACTTATCAAATATTTTGAAAACAGGAAACTTAATTCAAAACTCCTTTTAGAAGAAAACACAGGTTGAGGCCAGAAAGAACAGTCAATGAAATCCGCAGAGACATTAGATTTTGGAAGAGGTGACACTTCCCGTCGGAAGGGACATGGCTCCAAAGTCAAAGCCGGACTCTTCCCACCCCAGGATGCAGTCAGAAGGCAGATGTCTCAAGAATTAGCATTCAGGTTTGAAGAGAAGCAGAGAAATCCAAGAGGCATGTGTAAAACCAGAAAAACCCAAAACCCAGCTGGCCCAGAGGACTGTTCAAGCTCATTTTCTGTGTAGCATCCAGAAGATTCAGAGCAGAGTCATTCACGGTGGGAGAGAATTCAATAGTTAAGTCTCCCAAGCTGTGTCTTCCCAGAACTTGCAAGTTTACTCAACGGACGATATAGTTAACTGTGGACAAAATTCTGAGTAGTTCAGCCTGCCAGGGGCTTGGGGCATGGGCTGGGATCTGAAAGACAAGAGGCCTTGATTCCAGCTCTGACCACTGCTGTCTCTACAACCACTAGCTGCTTACGGTCCCTCTCCTTCGCTTCCTCTTCCCAAGAACGAGGGAAACAAACCTACTGAATCAAACCATATAACGATACAGGTAGCAAGCTGAACACCAAGCACTGCAGAGTGGGGCTGGGTAGAAAACAATGATCATCACCATTGCTTTTTATTTTAGTCTAACTGCTGGAAACAGCGCCCATAGCCCAAGCAGGCCATGAACTCATTATGCAGCCAAAGATGAGCCCTGAAGTTACCATCCTCCTGTCGCTACCTCCCAAGTGCTGGGAATTACAGGGCGGATAAGTGATAACGTGCCCCGATTTATAGGTGCTGAGGATTGAGCCCAGTCCTCATGAGTGACAGGCCAGTATTCTCAGCCGTTAAGCCACATTCCCTGGTGCCTCCCTATTGCTTTTAGCAAGGCTTATGATAGAAGGACCCAGAAAAAAATGACTGGATTTTCCTGTGTCTCTCTCTAACTCTCCTCAGCGATTAATTCGCTCCATACGTCACTTAGGAGAGACGATGAAAAGCAATTAGCTCATCCCTATGCTCCATTTCCTGGGTTGTTTCCACAGGCGGCATAATGGACGGCTGGTCAGAAGTTCAGAGTTTAATGGCGTATCCTGGGTGCCAGTGGAGAGAAGTAGATTTTCCCACAGGAAATGTGTTTGAGGTAAATACACTCTAAGCTTATTCTGTGTCTTAACAGGGGGGGAAATCACGTATCTGGCAACATTAAAATGAGCCAAAAAGGGGTAAGAGTGGGGGATGAGCCAAAGAGAATAACCCAAAGTGAGTCTGTGAGGTATCCACATGTTCATAGGAGATGGCTTCCCTGCAGCTTAGTTGGAGGGTTGTCCTTATCGGCATAGGACTCTTAGGAGTCTCAATATTTAAATTACCTGAGAAAATAAAACAGATTGTCACCAGACTACATACTCCCTTGAAAGCAGGGACCATGGTTGTCTTTAAAAGCTCCAACTAGCTTCCAAAGCAGGCAATACACATCTATCCTGAACAAATGGATGAGTAAATTCATGAATTAATGAACAAATGGCCCTCCTACCTAGTATAAGAATCTACCAGACAGCCGTTCAACAAGAGAAACTTCCAGAGACTGGGAGCTCCTGAAGCTACCCGCTCTGACCTCAAGTCCTCTCATAGGTAAAATTCTCACCCTGAATTTAAAATGACCTCGCTGTATCCAGCACCTACTGGCTTCATCCTGTCTCTAGAATCCAAATCTGGAGGGTACAGCCTGTTCCCATGGCTACCTAACCACCATTTCTAAACAAAGTCTACTTATAAAAAAACGCAAGTTAGGAGCTGGGGAGATGGCTCAGGAGGTAACAGGCTCCCTACATAAAGGCGAGGACCTGATTCCCAGCAATTAAGTAAGAACAACCCAGTGTAGCAGCCTGTGTCTGCTAAACCCAGAGTTGCAAAGGCAGAGACAGGATTCCTGGAATCTGCAGGCCAGCCAATCTAACAGAAATCAGTGAGCTAGAAACTCAGTGAGATCCTAGTCTCAAAAAAAAAAAAAAAATTAGGCGGAAAGCAACAGAGAAAGACCCAAGCATCCACCATGTGCAAAATGTAAAATGCAAAGAATATGGGGTCACACCCCAGACCTATGGCATCAAAAAGAAACTGAGGCTGGGGCCCAGCCTTCTGTCTTACAACTCCTCCCCACAGGTGATCCCAATGCAAGAACAAGCCTAGAACCAACACCCTAAACCACAAGTTTCTGAAAAAACTTCAGAAATGTGTATACACATCTGAACGTACAAGCCCCCTCTCCTTCCTGCCTCCACCGCATCCTGGATTGATGCAAACTGACAAGGTTACTCCCCGCCCACTTAACCACTAGGCTCTGCTGTTTCTGTACCTTCACAGCACACCTGAGAGGTAGGGACTCTTACCGTTCCTACTTTGCAGACCAGGGGCCAGAAAACTCTTAAGTGGCCACGATGTTGGTGGAGCTAGGTTTCAACCCCACATCTGAGAGCCAGACTCTTTGAGCAGTCTGTTGCTCTGAGCCTCTGAGATGAAAACATAAAACCAAACCGCTGCCTACAACTTGTATATCAACAGTTACGATAACGATAGTGGCTCTGAGGTTATATAGCATGTCGTGACCAAGGCAACTTGGATACAAATGTCTGCAGAGAAGAGCCATGGGGTAAACTAGCACAAGCTGAGCTAGTTCTATCCAAATAACCCTTCCCCTACATGGGCTATGGATGTAGATCAAGAAGGTCCCTCCTTCTAGAAAAGTCCATCACCATCTATACACTTTTACCAATGGGGGCAAAGTACTGCTTTCAAAGACTCTCCACTGGCCCCAAGAGAAGGTTGAATATGTCCATGCGCCCAGGCAGGAGGATCCCGGCACTGTGCTCAGAACAAAACTTGCTGTTATTTTCCCAGAGAGGAGACCAGATGCATGGATGCTAAGTGGCCAGCTGTCCCTTCTCAAACTACATCTTTCACTCATCTCTCTGAGAGGGGGCTGGCGCAGCACGGTGGCAGGAAGCTGCCTCTTACCACTGGCATGCGATAGGGTTTTCAGGAAAGGACTTGTGAGTGATGGAGATCCAGGATGAGGGGGAGCCTATCCAGGCTTCCCACCCTCCTCTCTCTCCCCCATGGGCTTTGCGAGACCAACCATTTCTATCGTACTCTCTTGCCTCCAGTCCTGTCCATTTCTGCACTAAGGAACCTATGGGTAGGCAGAGAGCAGCAGAAGGGTCTCCGTCACGTCTTAGTCATCATATAGCACACGGCACTGCAGCCCTAAACAGGGGCCAAACCCTAGTCACTCAACCCCGAAGTCCCTCAACGAAACCTCCGTCGTGGGGGTGTAGAGATGGCTCCGTGCTTAAAATCACTTGCTGCTCTTTGCAGAAGACCCAGGCTAGGTTCCTCAGGACCCACATGGTGGCTCACAACCATTACTCCAGTTCCAGGGGATCAGACACCCTGGTCTGGCCTCTCCTGGCACCAGGCATGCAGATTATGAACATATAATACATGCAGGCAAATACTCATACACACGAGGAAAAATAAATAATTCTTTAAAAAAAAAAAAAAAGTGAGGTAGGTCCACAAGGAATCAATAAAAATTTAAAAAAAAAAAATGAAAACACCCTGAATCTCCTGAAGCCAACCTAAGAAATTAAACTGCACCCTCCTCACCACCCCCAGGCACTCTCCTGAGAAGAACAGCATCCACCTTGGCAATCTAAAACCACTAGAGCAGCCAAGACCCAAAGCATAAAGCCTTTTCTAAGGTTTGTGGCCTTCCAAGGCCCACCAGCACGCTTGCAAAACTATATATTAACAGGAGTTTCAGATGGTTCTCTTAGCACCCCCCCCCCCCCCCCGCCCGGAGCGAAGAGCACAGATAAAGCAAATCCGTACAAAGTGCTAACA